TTGTCACAAGGATTACATATATGAAGGACGAAAGCCCTAGCACTAACTGTTCAAAAGTTATGGCCAAGGTTAAAGTTTTTCACAACAGGGTCACGCTCCAAGGTCAAGGTCAAAGTTTTGTGGTATCCAAAGGAAGGTCTTATCACAAGGTATACACAAGTGAAGTATGAAAGCCCTACCACCAACGGCTCAAAAGTTATGGCCAAGGTTAACGTTTTTTCAAAAGTAGGTCAAACTCCAAGGTCAACGGGTCAAAGTAGTTGGTATCTGAAGAAAGGTCTTGTCACAAGGTATACACATGTGAAGATTGAAAGCCCTAGCACCCACTATTCAAAAGTTATGGCCAAGGTTAATGTCTGAAAAAAAAAATGCAAAAGTGGGTCAAACTCCAAGGTCAAGGTCAAAAGGTCAAATTTTATGGTACCCAAAGAGAGGTCTTGTCACAAGGAATACACATGTGAAATATGAAAGCCATAGCTTCAACCAATCAAAAGTTATGGGCAAGGTTAAAGTTTTTGCGGACAAACAGACAGATAGATAGACAGCTAGAAGGACGGACAGGGCAAAAACTATATGCCCCCGAATCTTCGATTACGGGGCATAAAAATTCTAAATTCTTGTAGAGTAAAAAAATTTGACAGGAGAATATATAAGAAAAAAAAATCCTCCTTGATATGCGAGCATCCTCGGGTAGTGCAAATTCAAATTTATTGAAATCATGGCCCCGGGGTAGAGTGGGGCTAAAAAAAGGAAATCAAGGTTTTGTTAGGGAATAAATAGTGAAAAAAAAATCTTTAAGAATCTTCTCAAAAAAGCAGGACCATGATTAGTCATTTCTAACTACTGGCATCTTAAGGTATAGTGCGGTATCTTTTCTTCAAGACTAGCAGGATCATCAGTCATAATAATATGCAAGCATCTTCAGGTTGTGCATTTACACACTGTTCAAATCGTAACCCTGTGAGTAAGAATTGACCAAAAATACGGGGCCCCCCAAAAAAATTTTAAAGATACAGAGGGAATTTTTTAAAATTATTAAAAAAAATACCGGGGCCATCTATGAGACTCTTGTTTATAATATTTAAATGACCTAGTAAAATGGAATAAAGGGATGATCACCTTTGAAATTTCACTTAAAGTCTACAAATGTGTACATGTATAATCAATTTTTCAAAATTATACATTTAATGTGATGCACAACGAATTTACAAACAATGTGTTTGTCATCGTCTTTGAATAATGGCTGAGAGTTTCTGGACGTGAGTATTTCATATATATATATATACCAATAGATCAATCGGGTGACTTCATGCAAGAGAACCAGGTTTCATGTCCAAACAGATCAACGAGAGATACCAGTAACCAGTTGTAGTTCCGGAGGCGTTCACACAGGCAAAATGTGGATCTGTTCTGTACGAAAGAGCACAGGAAAGGAACCAATAAGATAACATCGGTGAAATTCTTTAAATAGAAAACTTGGAACCACTGGGTGCATGTATAAAATACTCTTCACGGGTAAATGAGATCCATTGATCCTGATGAGAAGGGCTGAGAAACTTGTTCACTTATACAACAACACAGGAAAAGAAAATGTAAAACAGAGAAATAGCAAATTACTTATAGAGAATACTATATTTTGTTTTAATTAATAGGATTAATTTGAATATATATTATGATAAAGAATATGTAATAACTTATATATGTACAAATACACCATTAATGCAAGTTCTGAACATTCAGTCTTAGAAGTGTATGTTGTTTTGCCGCTTATAGTAAGTAATTTTCAGTTTCTAAGTGAAGTAGAAATTCTAAGCAAAGGCGGATCCAGCGCCGGGCGTGCGTCCCCCCCCCCCCCCCCGTTTGAATTTGTTGTATGTAGAAATTAAATGATCATTATCCTTAAATCAAGGAAGAAACGCCTCTTATTTGTAAGAATTCGTCAGCTTCTGGGGGCTTCGCCCCCGAACCCCCATTAGGGCTTTGCCCTGGACCCACTGGGGGCTTCAATACAGCCCCCAGACCCCCTGCCTTCTATTGCGCCCCCAGTTATGAAATTCCTGGATCTGCCACTGCTAAGAAAGAGAACCTGCAATAAAAAAGATGCAAAAAGCGGACGTTCCATGTATTATTTATCGCTGCAGTGAGAATTTGCATTTTATTTTTATCTCTATAAATGGTGCTGTATCTACATATGTAAGCTTTTTTGTTATTTCTTGTATCCAGGGGCAAATTTCTTATTCCTGTTTGGTGGTCCTTTTCTCAAACTAGGGCTAGGCCTAGCCACACTTTTCAAACTCAAATCGCTTTTCAGAAAGACATGGCAGATGATCGTACAAATAAATAAAGCTTTCTGGTCCTCCACCACAACTGGATAAAAGTTCTTACATAACACGTTCGATATAGCAGTAGCCATGCATGCCACGATAATTTTTATATTACTGACACATACAACAGTATCGACACAAGCTGTTCAATGAGAAATATAACACGTGTGCTTCGGCTACCTAGTAGAGACAAATCGCTACAGGTAACTTTTTTTGTAACTTGCACACATTTGTGGCAATATACTAGTAGCCAATAGGCCTACAAACACATGCCGTCCAAACCCTAAGAACTTATTCACGAATAGTTCAGCATTTGCAAAGTATATCATATCCATATTATACTACTGTTAAAAGTATACCAGACCCTCCCCCCCCCCCACCCCTTCTCCAAAAAAAAAAAAATGTGGTAGGTATAAAATTACGTTCGCAAAAATATTAAAAGATCCTACAGATTCCAATGGATTGAGAATTGCATCTATAACCTATGCCTTATGACCCTAGTGTTTTACTACCCTTTTTAAATTCTGGTAGACCTAACCTTCCTATAGGCCCTAATGAATTGAAAATTGAGGAAGACATATGCATTATGGCCAACCAACACTGATCCTTTAATACTCTTAGTAAACCTAACGGAAATGATGAAGAAATAATGAATCTAAGCTGAGATAAATAGCTTTTTGATAAAAAAAAAATATACCGAGAAGGAAAATGGAAGATCAATTTACGATGAGAAATATTCATAATCATGAGGTCAGATCTTTCATATTTTTCAATGAAATGACAATCTATCTAGAATCTACCTGTTGCTACAGAAATCGATCTATAAGTGGCTGCATTCTGTAAACGTTTTAAATCAATCACATTGTAAATCGTGAATGTGTAAATCAATCATAATCTTGACAGTGTTTATAAGCATGCAGATTCAGTATCGGTATGGTTATTTTTGTAGCAAATTTTCTAAATGATTTCTCCCCTTTCAACATGCATTAATATAGCTTCTAGTTTAATAAAAGTTATATAGATTGGTGAAATTACTGCGTTGTATGGCTATGTCAAATGATAATTCTCTGGCGAAATTACTGGGATGCGAAGATGCACGCACCTCCTCTGCCACCTATTATTTTTCCCATTTCAGTGCATGTCATATTTCTGAATCAGAGAGGACTTCTTACTTTATATGTAGAATGTCGATATAAATATCTAACAATTGTGAGTCAAATTTTAAAGTGTTTTATTAAGTAAGTTATTAGTTACAACAAAAGTATAAACTTTCCTACAAACCAGTACACATCAATAAGGTTTAAAGTGTGTTGTCTGAATGTTCATTTGATGTGTGTTCATCTGAGTATAATACTAACAATTCCTCCTTTGCCACTTACAATTCCTGAATCAGTCCTGTCGTTTATGCCAGCAGATAAGCGATCTAGTCAAATTTATCCCGTTAATGCGTTTTTGGATAACTATAACTTCTAAGACAAATTTTGAGGAAATACCAGCTAAAACTATATAATTGGTAATTTTTCTTTGAACAAAAACTCCTGGTAATGGCTGGTAATGTATGCTGATTTTTTTTTTTTTTGGGGGGGGGGGGGTCTAAGAATATCTGATGCCATGGTACTACGATTTTAAATTAAGAATATCTTGAGAAATTATCATTGGCTAAGGCATGTTGTAAGGTACTTACGTATGAACTCAATGGCTTGAACAAGTTTGTTCGATATCCATATTGTTTGACCATTTTTTCCCCCGAATATTTGATGTAAAGAATTCATTTTCTGATATCAAAAATTCATATTCTGATATCAAAAATTCCGTTGAATTTTTTTTCTTTCCTTTTTTTTGTTTTTTGGTTTTGTTTGTTTGTTTTGAGTGAGAGAGAGAGAGAGAGAGAGAGAGACAGAGAGACAGAGAGCAGCATACAATACTGAGACAATCAAAATCAACTGTACAACACCTTTCATCTTCTGCATGTAGAAATGATTTATGTTTTTTTAATTTTTTTTGTTTGTTTGTTTTTTTTTTTTTTTTTTGCAGCACAAACGTAATAAATTGGTTGATTTAAATAAAACTCTGATTTTAAACATTAAATAATTCATGTAAAAATTGAACATGTCATTAATTTTTCAATCTGAATGATTATTAGTAGTTTATTTAATACTTTTTAGATCCGCACAGTATAGTCAGTAGAAGATCTAAGAGACTTAATGCAAATATATCAATTTACGAAAAAAGAAAGAAAGAATAGTTTTCACGAAACACGTTCAAAGTGTAGTTTTCAATTTCCATTGGAAGGGGCACCCAAAAATACATATAATGTAAATTGAAGACCATTTGAAAATACATATATTTAAACGTGTCTTTTTTTTCATATTTGGGGTGAGGATTTTTATTTTATTTGAATTATCTGTTTAACATGTTTAATGTATATGAATGATTATTTCGGTATAGTACAATCCCCCACTTTTTATGAATGAGTAAATGAATTCTAAAGGAGTTTCCATAAAGGGCTTTTTAATATCGTAAATTTGTGAACGTCATTTAATTAATGCAACAAATAGCCTAGGGAAAAATGTTTATTTGACTCTTTGAACAAAAACATATTCAACGTGGAGGTGATTGGGATTATTAACCAATGATAAAACAACACGCGACCTACTGCAGACTAAATACGGACATGCGCACTGAGCATCTCTCTCTTTGCCACGTTGAATCGTTTACAGTTAGACACACATATCGAAACGATCTCTCCCCAAAATAAACATGATTGTAAAATTATTACTTTTATGCGCGTTTAGTGCTGCTTTTGCAGATATCACAGAGGAAAAGGGAGTTCTGGTACTGACCAAGGACAATTTTGATGGTGCTATCGCCGACAACAAGTTCATTTTGGTTGAGTTCTGTAAGTAATCTACCGGCTTCTCGTATTGTGTAAATATTATTGCATATATCCACAAATATATGGTATCCTTTGAAATAAAACTTTCTCATGAAAGAATTGATTTTTTCATGACGTACTTGTCATGGTCAGTATTTGATGCACTTTGCATGTATCTACAGTTTGTCGTCTGCATGTCGTTTGACAGTCTGTCATTTAGTACATGTATGCACGATATTTCAAGAATTTATAATTGTTACACTGATATTTCATTGTATTCACTTAAAAATATATGTATATGTGTGAGTAAACAGTTGTGTATTCCATCAGCTAACTTCACGTGTAACTAAATGAGATTTTTTAATGTGGTAATGTACCATATTGTTTAAACCAAACCTCTTGTTTCTTGACCTATAACCATGTGTCATGCATCAGCGATCCCACTTCTGTGATCAGCATGATCAAAAAAATTTAGGTCAAGAAAAGATCTATTATCATGAGAGAAAATGTTTATATATATGTGCTTTGATATCAGTGCAGTTATTTCAGTTTTTCACCCTTTTCATAGAGTTTGTCACATAAACAGTTTATTGACTAATTTTCAATATTGTTACATATAAAAATATTTTTCATCAAAATGAATCATTTACACATTATTTATAAATGAATAGTATATTACGAATTGCTGCAATCTTGAAAAAACAGAAAATTTACTATTAAAAAACCTATTTTTTAAAACATATTACCTGAGGGTAAACATATTGTTTATTATGTCTTTGATATTGTGTTATTGAGCCAGGTTATGTCATCATGTAATTAAGATGTTATTCCACATTATTCCATCATTAATCATTGGTTCCCAACTTACTTTGTCAAACAAGGGGAAGACATGGTTCCTCAGGCCATGCATCTCGTTTCTTTTTGTAAAAGTATTCCTATTTCCTTTTATTTTTGTCCAAACTGACGTGGTGACAACGTGCAATAAAGCATGTTAAAGTAGGTCAAAGGAGTAAAAGGATTAGGAAGTCAGGCGTAAAATTTCTCATTCAGATACATCTTAATTTGCATTTCATTAGATGTAGTTATCGACGTGGCATATTTGAAAACAGAACCACAATGCTTACAAAGATCTTTTATTATTTTGGGAACAGTTAGCTGATAAAAACACCAAGCCTGAAATTGTGAAATTTACTGTACATGTGTATTACTGTACTGTGATTTTGATCAAATCTACACAGAAACCTTTTCCAATCATTTTGAAGGTCCAAATGAATGCAATTTGTCCATAAAAACATGTATGATATGTCACATAAGTATGTATAATTATCATTTATTAAAGTATCTAACTCATCACTCTGATATATATGTAGTAGAAGTGTTGCAGATTTTATTTGTAAATTTGACTCTGTTCATGTAGATGCCCCATGGTGTGGACATTGTAAAGCACTTGCTCCAGAATATGAGAAGGCTGCCCAGTCTCTGGCTGATGAGAAATCTGAAATCAAGCTTGCCAAAGTTGATGCCACAGAACATCAGTCTCTGGCCGAAAAGTTTGAGGTCCGTGGCTACCCAACCATCAAGTTCTTTAGGGACGGCAAGCCTGTAGAATATGGAGGTATATCATTTTTTAAAAAAATATTTTCTAAAATACACCTGCTTAGAACTTTTTTCATATATTTCATATTTATGACATATTTCTCCTTAAATTGAAAAACCTGTATAAAGATAAAGAGAAAACTTATTAAATGTTCAAGATGATGCATTCAGAATGCAGTAAAATTATGAAAAAATGAAGGCATACATATGTCAGATAAAAGATTATTATTTTTATGCAAATATTTTTAGGTGGCAGACAGGCAGCTGATATTGTCAACTGGTTGAAGAAGAAGACTGGTCCTCCATGCACCACTCTCGACTCTGTCGATGATGCCAAGAAATTCATCGAGAAAGACGAAGTTGTTGTAATGGGATTTTTCAAGGTAAACATCATTTTTAAATTCAACATTAAAATCTTTAGAGACTAGAGAAAGCAAAACATGAATGAGTCAAGACAATGGAAATGTTATATAACAGGAATGGTATATAAGTAAAGCAGGAAGTCAGTGTTACACAGCATTAAGTGGGTGGCACTTAAGATCCAGGATGTCATTCATAAATTTATCCTCTTATTTTTGCTTCTGTGTACTCTTCAGAGTATCATACGGTGCTGTATAACATTACCCAACAGGATATATCTGTAACAGCAGTATTAATTTTGAGGCCCTTACATCTGTTATGTTGATATTCAATAGGATGTAACCTCAGCTGATGCCAAGGCCTACGAGGAGGCAGCTGCCGGCATTGATGACATTCCATTCGGTATAACCTCGAGTGCTGATATCTTTAAAGAGTATGAAGTGGAATCTGATGGCATTGTTCTTTTCAAGAAGGTAAGATGGTTGATATTTTGTGTTAAGCAATCAGGACCTTGATGTTTTGTTAATGGAAATATTTACACCTATAGAAGTTATACACTTCCAATAAAGAAACTGCAGATTTAGATTAACTTGGATGTAAAACATGCCATTTTTTCTGTTTTGAGAGGATCAACATCTGAATATTGGATCTTAATGGATATACATCTTTTACAGTTTGATGAAGGACGTAATAACTTTGAGGGAGCTGTATCAGCTGATGCCATTTCCAAATTTGTGTTTGGCAACAGATTGCCCATTGTTGTTGAATTCACACAAGAGGTATTAAACTCTTGATTATGTTTTCTTTTGTAAGGAATTTCAATTTAAATCTGGGGAAAAAACTGTAAAAATAACTTGCAATCGTAGGAGTTTTGAATTGAATTAAATGTTATTGTTTACAGAGTGCCCAGAAAATCTTTGGAGGAGAAATTAAGAATCACATTCTGCTCTTCGTCAAGAAGTCTGAAAAGGACTTTGACACAAAACTTAGTGACTTCAAAGAGGCTGCCAAAGACTTCAAGGGAGAGGTAAATATTCAGAGCATGTGTATTTAAACTGCTGAGATATTTGTCAGCTAAATAAGGCTAAATAAAATTGATATTATGGTTCTCAGGCCAATTTTCTTAAAAATAGATGCGAACAGTTTTTTTTTTTTTTTAAAAAAAACCCCCTTTTTATCAGCAATATATTAGGTGCGAGAGGCCCCCTTTTTTTATTTTAGAAATTTCTATTAAATTGTTCGTTCATAGTTATCTGGAGTCATTTTATAGATATATTCAACTTCTCACAAAATTACAATACATGTGTATATTTTTCCTTGATCACAAACCAAGTGTCCATATCATATGGCTATTTATGTTATGTTTATACAAAATGGCTACTGAAAACCAAAATCGATTGCAAAACTACGAAAAAATGAAGGCAGAATTTTTTTTCTTGGATTAGTCTCCACATTAATAACTTTTGAATTTTTGTTGAAAATATGATGAAAATTGCAAAGCAGGTACCCCTAAATGAATGTGTGCGGGCCAGTTAACTGTAATTTCAATTTCATGAAGCCTAATGTATTATTTGTATTTAAGATAATAATTTGTTTTAGCATACTGCCATCTACAGATTAAATTTTTTTTTACCATAAAACTATGCCAATTTAACTATTTAATAATATATTTTGAGTAATGCAGATATTGGGAGAGCAATATGCTTCACATTGAAAGTATCTCCTTCAGTTTACTGACGATTGAAAATAACTAATACCTTGTGGCAAATGGTTTGACAAAATTTGAATTTATTGAAGGTCCTGTTTATCTACCTCGACACCAGTGATGAGGACAATGCACGAATCCTGGAATTCTTTGGATTGAAGCCAGAGGAATGCCCAGCTGTTCGTCTGATCACCCTCGGAGAGGACATGACCAAATACAAACCAGAGACAGATGATTTGTCTACAGGGGCCATCAGAACATTTGTTCAGGGCTTTAAAGATGGAAAACTTAAGGTAAGTTTACAACAGAAATTTAGGTGTTCTTGAAATGCTTTCAACACCTCAAACTGTTCACCTTCTCATTTTGTTAGCTATTTTTGTTGTTGAGATAAATGAAGAATTCATAAACCATTTATTTTAAAGGTAATTGGATAATTCATAGAATACCCTACTTGTTAAAAGTTCATGTGTACATTTTTAAAGTAAAATATTCAAGCATTGTTAATGTTTTGCAGCCACATCTTATGAGTGAAGAAGTGCCAGCTGACTGGGATTCCAAACCAGTCAAAGTTTTAGTAGGAAAAAATTTTGTAGATGTAGCTTTAGATGAAAAGAAAGACGTATTTGTAGAATTTTGTAAGTATGTGTTTCTTACTTTAATACTTTTGAGTGAACTTAACAGTTATTGAGGCAAAAATAGAAAGAGGTTGAAAATTTAGCTAGAGATCTGAAACAGTAATTTGTCATTGCAAAATGCACTGAATGTTGGCATATAATAACTGTAAAATTTGGAGTGGCTCTGTAGTTTCTTTCTGGTTTCAAAATCAATTGTCATATATAACAGTGTGGAGTCTTTATATCTTTTGCTTTTACGTACGCTATAATTTAAAAATGTTTATAATAAGAATAAAAACAACTTCAGAATAGAAAAACGGATGATGATTATACCTTCACTCTCTAAAGAAGTTTGTGTAAAGTGATTTTTTCCTTGAAATAACACTTCATTGTAATGTTTTTGCAGATGCCCCATGGTGTGGCCATTGTAAACAGTTGGCCCCCATCTGGGATGAGCTTGCCGAGAAATTCAAGGACAAAGATGACCTTGTTATTGCCAAAATGGATTCCACAGCCAATGAAGTAGAGCAAGTCAAAGTCCAGAGCTTCCCTACCCTTAAATTCTTCCCTAAAGGCAGCCAAGATATAGTTGATTACAATGGAGAGAGAACTCTTGAAGCTCTCACCAAATTTGTAGAGAGTGGTGGAAAAGAAGGAGCTGGAGAGCCTGATGAGGTATGTAAATATAACAGTGTCATTGGTTCAGTCTGTATCATGGATAAGCTTGGGTTATAATACATAGCCAAGGCTGTAAAGTGGAAATAATGGTGGTTAATATTAATAATTGTATATTAGATTGCGTCTTTGTATTAAAAAGTAGTTAAGGAAAACTTTCGAATTTTTCATTGCTATTTTGTTTTGTAATTTTAAGTTTTCATTGAGCATTGATATTCTACATTAAGTGTTTAACGTACAGCAGGGGTTGAAATTTTCCTGAAAAATCCCTAGCCCAGGGGCTACTGATCAGTAAAAAATTACGAGCCCAAACCTCAAATTAACTAGCCCAGCAATTTTTTTTAATGCAAAATGAAAACATAACAAGTTAAAGCTTCAAATGCTTTGGTGACGGAAACAAATTAAACTAGTCCTCGGTCGAAAGAAACCAGTCAACATAGAAAAATGAAAGTAAACTGAAGAAAATTTTTCTCTGTTCTGCTAGTCCGACGGACTATTGTTACGTTTATAAATAAGCTAGCCCGAATCTTAAAATGACTAGCCCTGGGCATCAGGCTACCGTATATTTCAACCCCTGGACTACATGAATTGCAGTAATTGAAAATCTCTAAGCTGTAGTAGAACAGCAGACCCAATCTTGAAGATTTAGATAGGTAATAGGTATATGTATGTCAGTAGGCATATGTAATTTTATAAACAATTTTTTTTTAGCCTGAAGAGGAGGAGGAGGAAGAAGAAGAGGAGGAAGAAGGAAAGGACAAGAAGGATGAATTGTAAAGACTCTTTGTTTATACTCTGTACTAGCAGGATCTCAGTGAGAGAAAAATCTGTATTCCATGTTCTCAGCTTTTACATCCTCTTTAAGTTACTAAAAATGATCATGTTAATATACTTGAATGTTAAATATTGTTTATTGGCCAAGGCACTTCAGCTGTATAAGTGCTTTAATTAAATTGTTTGAAACTGCTAAGAAGTGCCTTGTGAGCCATGTTAAGATGGGAGATGGGCATTGTTTTTTTTTTCTAACTCTGGATCATTGAGGTTGTTGCATAACTATTGAGGCAGCTGTGCACTTAATAACACTGTAACTAGTCAAGGATCAACAAAACGGAGCTTGTTAGACCGTTGGCATTTCTATTCTTTTTGATTATTGATTCATTCCAGTTATTTATTTTTTGTCCAATTTAATCGTGTATACAATATGTTTCTTTTTCTTGTCAGGATTTTAGTTTTAATTTTGCCACAAGTATAAAAAATAATAATATTCTTCCATTTTTGAATCATGAAATATTTAGATGAGGGAGAGATCATTATTTTCCCCAGAAAATCAAACAACTCAATGTGGGATTCGATATGTGTGTGTGACTGTGTGCATGTGTGTCTTTTTGATGGTGATTGATAAAAGAGATTTTGAATGATGTTGAAAATTTGGTGCTGTTCAGACAGGAAAAATATTTAAAAGTACCAGTATGTTTGTCATAAATGCTCATGTACTAATGTTTTGTGTACATGTTTATAATAATTTCAAAATTTTGAAATGTAGGTTAACAAATAAAAAACAAAATTTATTTAAATGCTTTGTCTTTTATTTAATACTTTAAAAAAGGACTGGATGTAAGAGCGAAGGCTCAGTTTTACATTTGAGAAATATACCAGTGAAATGTTACATCTTAAAATGAAGCATATGATTTGAAATTACTGGTAATGAATTCAAATTGTGACAATTGATTATCAACAGGCATTAATTTTCTTGTATGAACTATGAAAGTGGAGTAATCAGACAAATGTACTGATACATGCACTATAAGTGTAATTTTGTTAGTGTATAATACATTCATGACTATCTAGCATTATGGAAAAAAACAAGTGATAAAATATGCACATTGTCAACATTCTGGAAGATGACAACTTTATATCATGGAGTATGTATTTTGGATAATGTTTTACTTCATAATTCCATTACTTACCAGAGTATGATCAAATCTTCACCTAGACACATATCCTAGATTCTTCAGCCCCTGCCAGGACTTTAAATATGCAAGTCCCATGTTAGGCAACAGGACTCTATGCAACTAAAAAGAGTAAGTTGGCAATGTTTACTCCCCCAGTTTGTTTGGACAGAATGGAAAATGATTTCTGGACAAAATATAGCAGATAATACTAATCATGGTGGAATGATAAAAGAGGCCTATTTAATTTAAAGAGAAAGATCATTCATCTAGTTGATTACAACTACTGAAGCCTTTGATAATGGCCATGGATATCAGTCTGGATAGATTGGTTGAGCACCTGACCAGTGATGCGAGGGTCCTAGGTTCGATTTCTGCACCAGCAATACATTTTCTCCTTTTCTGTTACACAATTTGGTCCCGTCACTCACCAACCCATTTCTTTTGATTTTTGTGACTTCTTACATGAAGTATGAACCCCTGGACTTGCAGAAAAATGTACTCCCAGGGGCATACAAGAACTTGGGTTGTGTCTTTGAGGGCAAAGGCAATTTAAGGAGGGAGGAATGTAATGGTTTCGACCATGGAAATGGGCCTGGAAAGCTCTGTTGGTAGAGCATAACTAGTGATGCAGGGGTCCTGGGTTTGATTCCTGGTTCAGCCATACGTTTTCTCCTTTCCTGTTACAATAGTAAATAGGATTTTAAAAAAATACAATTTTGGGAACATATTCCTACAATTAAATCTAATTACATGTAATATGTATCAGACATTTTAGTTTATGTTTGTCAAATGTCTATCCACATTACCGTATATAGGAATTATAGTGGTATTTATAATTGGCACTACAAAACTGAAAGAAACATTACAAATATCTGTCATATGAGAGCAGACACCTGAAATAATTTCATTTCTAAATAGTGTTGTCAATTTGGACATTTTTTTTTTGTAAACTGTTACACATTTACTTTTCCAATTGAGCACCATTACTCAGATGGTTTTTAATCATACCTCTTGACATCCATGCTAGATATTTAAGAAATAAGATATCATTTTTAGAGTGTCATTGGGATATGACATGAAGTCGGTCACATGATCAAATTCTATAACGCCCAAAGGGCGTTATAGTAGATTTGATCATGTACCGACTTCATGTCATATCCGAATGAAACTCTAAAAAATGATATTTTATTTCTTATATTTTCCATTTTTATTCGTGTTAAAGGAAAAATAGGCCCTATTTAGACTTTGTTATGGAAATACAACATAACATATCTTCGACATCATGTGACGTCACAATCTGAACTTTCAAAATGGCTCGTGCAGTTTGCTTTCCATATGCAAGAAAGTCTGATCATGTGACCATCTGCATGTCATTGAAAATTGAATTTCAATTTAATTAGTATTGTCATATAAGGAAAGACATCGGCAAATGTAAATATAAAGTAGTAACTGCAATGAATGTAACATCTTTACAATTTCTATATGTATTGTATGTTTTATGGCAGTATATAAAAAACAAACACACTGCATGTGAACTTATACAATTACAAACACACACTGTCTTCTAATAGGTTTTGGAATGTCACGCAAACAAGGGCAGTTTGTTTTTGTTCAAGAATATACTCTGTGATAGCTGGTTGTTTTGTGTGTTTGTTAATACCACTTTACGTATATACACTTAACGAATTTAAAATTGGCATTTCTCTTAAAACATTTTCATGCTTTTGTTATCTGGGACAGCATCTTGTCGCATCATTTGACAATTAACAAGTTACTCAAGTTACTTAAATTCACCCAAACACAGTTGTGTTAAAGAGATAACTCTGTCCTCTTTAAATTCGCCCACTACAATGATGACAAAAGGGGTGAAAATAAAATGAAGCAAAAATTTTACTGTATGCAAAATGCTCTGTTTAACCCCTGTATAAACCTGAACTTGATAACTGCGATCATATCATTTTGAATAGGTTTACATGAAAAAACTTTTTTCCCCATTAGAATTTACCTTTACAAAATTCTTACAATCTACAGAAATAAGATTATTTGTATCCTGTTTATGCTATGGTACTAAGAATTCTATGTTTTAATGAATCAATACATAATTAAAAATTATTCAAATTAGTAATCTTCAGAGTTGTCTCTGTTTGACTCAAAACAATATAAAAAACCTTAGTTATTAGTCTAAACTCTTTGATACCAATGTATTTGACATTGCTAAAATAAAACACTGAAATACTTATATTCCATCTTTAATACATTCATATTTTATACATTTTCATGTTACAGTGAACTAATTTATTATTGCACACAAAGCCCTTCCAGTATTTTTCCTGCCTTTTACAATAAAATTCACAATGGCACATAATAAACTGTTAGACAACATTCAATCTATGGTCAATATTTCTTCACAAGAATCTGTTTTTAGAGATGATAACTGACTGCTGTCTAATGTCAGCTTCACTTTATCACAACTGGATTGGACAGTCTAAATATTGTCTGGAGCATGGAGCTGATTCCAGAAAACATGTCCTCTGATATTCCCTGTCAAAACAAAACATTTTTTCTGAAAGTAATCCTGACAAACAGAAGAAAATAGCAAAACAGGATATTGCCAAAACTATTATTAAAAGCACTTTTATTAATATAAAGGTAATGATACAGTCAAACCTCCTTATCTCGAACTAGGACCGAAAAAAAACTTTAAGATATCTGAGGATTCGAGAAATACTTATCAGTAAAGAATATTTGGTTGGGACTTCTAGTTCACTTCAACACATCCACGGTATTTGAGATATCAGTGTTCGAGATACCAAAGTTCAACTGTAACAGTATTTGATTAAATACTTTCATTTTTTTTTAAATAATAAACATCACCTAAACATTTTTAACCTAAAAGCAGACATCATTTGCAGGCAGGGGTTTTAGTTTATCTTTAATGTGAAAAATTGAGCCTCTTGAATTTTGGCAACAGGCAATAAATTTTATCCAAACTCTCATCAGAATTTAATATCATCCCATTTGACAATGTGTAATAAGGAAATTTTCATAAGTTATCTCTCTTTGCCCATTCTCTTTCACAAAGTTAGTACCCTGCTATCTATTTTAAAAGCAGACCTGATTTCAAAGAATGTCTTTTTACCTGCTTAAACAATATATTTAATCTAAATATCAGAAAAATTAAGGAATTAAAAAAAAAGATTGGATGGACAGACATGGTGGGTATAAAAAAGTATTCCTTTTTTAAAAAAAAAACAAAAAACTTTCTTCTAATGAAGTTGCTTGTTATACAAAATAGTAAACATTCCATCACTCCATCTCAAAATCTTATTCCAAATAAGAACATACCGGAGGAACAAGGAACTGAATGTTACGAGACTTGTATCCACCATAGGCTGCCATCTCCATCATAAAGCCCTTGACACACTTAAACATGAGCTCCACTCTCTTCTGACACCAGGGAATAGTCATCTCCTACAACAACAAAAGATGCATCTCGATCAAAACATGAAACAAGATTGACTCAAAACCTTTTGTAAATGAACCAAGAAATATGATTTCAGTATAGGCACTCACCTCTGTCATTTCATTTGAGAGAAGAAGAGGTATGGTCAGGGTGTTGATGTCATAACGGAAGCAGAGCTTGATAATGTTCCTGATGCTGAGTATGACTGGATGGCGAGATGAAATGTCGGATGACTTGACGCTCTCTGATGCTTTTTTGCCATCATCTGCCACCAGATGAAACACAACATGGACCTCAGACAAATTGGAATGTTTGGTCAGATAGAAGTCTCCTGCTCGCAGGCCATTATTTTTCTCCTGGAAAAATTGATTGGCAATTCAAAATATTTTACAGGAAAAAATATTCCTCATAGGAATCTTTTAAGAAGGAATTTGAATAATAAAATTCCTTCTTTGGTAGTTAATATGAAGATAATGTTTGCGACATTGGTAAAAAAAATACATATGGTAACCTGTGTAAGCTAGCTGGTTATGTTAATTTTTCTACAATTAATGCAATCATTATCCCCATATTAACAACCAAAGAATGAAATTTTATTGTTTATATTTATATCTGTATAAATTATTCCTATATTAAAATGGATGAAAATATGTTAAATATTTTATTATAGGTCTGTGTGTTACATTGATGCTAGAGCCCGCTTCTTCAGAAATCTTTTAAACAGACAGCTTTAAAAAGCTGGTTCTAACTTGTTTATTGTTAATAGAATGGTAACTGCAATTGGAGTTTTATAAAAAGTGAAGGAGAAAATATTTACTGAATGTAAATATTTGATTATTATTATAAAGATTAAAGACTTTTGTTGACCCTGACCTCACTAGATGTGCTGCTACTGCTCTTGAGGCTGGCTTTATCTGCATCATCTGTATGTTTGTTTTGTTGGCGATACTCACTGGCAAGTGCAAGCTCCTGTTCTATGATTGCAAACTGTTGTTCCAGATCCGGAAAGTGGAAATCTGTTGACTGTTCACAAACCCTGGCAAATTCTGGAAGAAAAGAGTTATTTCTCTTTTCATAATTGAACAATGTCCTTGCAATACAGGTTCAGTGGGTGGAAAGCAGAAATTCTTTCTTATTAACAACACTTGAGAATCACTTTTTCATTCTAATAAATGGCATGTTCACTTGTACAACCACTGTCAAGGCTAACTATCAATTTATATGTATTTTTAAGAAATGCTAATGATATTTAATGGGAAGATGAAAATATTGATCTTTAAACCTCTTTTCAATCCTGTATATGAATTCAGTCTATTGTCCACCATCATTATCATTGCACAGAGATCATTAGAATACAGTGACATGGCAGTCTGTAATCTCTGTGGTTGTGGAATCAACATACCCCTGGAAAAAATATCAAGAAACTTATACAGCATTTGCATGGTTTGATTATCTGCAATCTCATTAACTAACTAATATGAATTTTTACTGCTTCAGGGCAACCAAAGGGTTCAAAGAGTGACAACTCTTTGCTGATATTTTCCAATTTTTACTAAGTCTTTATAATAGAAATTTTAATTTTCAAATAGCAATTCAAATTTGCCTCATCTCTAAAGAAAGTCCTCTAGCAACTTTTAATTTTCTTACATTCAGACAATCCCCCCCCCTTTTGTCTAGAAAAATTTTCAATTTCAAAAAAGAAATTCCAGTTCCTTTCAGGAATATGACTTAAAAATACAATGTACATGTACACAAATTGCATGTGAAAACTCTTTAAATTCATGGCTATAAACATTACCATAATTCTGTGCAAACCATGTATTTTCCAATTTTAACTAAGTCTTTATAATAGAAATTTTAATTTTCAAATAGCAATCAATTTTGCCTCATCTCATCTCTAAAGAAACTCCTCTAGCAACTTTTAATTTTCTTACATTCAGATAATCCCCCCCCCCCTTTTTGTATAGAAACATTTTCAATTTCAAAAAAGAAATTCCAGTTCCTTTCAGGAATATGACTTGAAAATACAATGTACATGTACACTAATTGCATGTGAAAACTCTTTAAATTCATGGCTATAAACATTACCATAATTCTATGCAAACCATGCATATAATTTTACTTACCCTACAGTGTGTGCTTTGTGTCGGCAAAGGTCAAGGACATCTGTACAAAGCAATCGCAAATTGTGTGTCGTTTTCATCTGTGCACCTGGTAAGGCAAGATGATGTTTTTTGAATGCAAAAAATGTGAAGAATTGCTAGTTCAGAAAATGTGCATGTTATGCAGGTGGTCACAGCTGCTATGTCATATAAATCATCAGTTTGTACAGACTTTTAAAGTAGATTACATTCCATTGTGAACAAGGCAGTTTTATTCAACATTTCCCAAAATTTATAATCACCATCTACTGTGATTTTTTATTTTATAATTCCCTTTCACAATAAAATTCTCATCCCTTCTTAACTGTTCTTTTCTTGAAGTTTTATTTTCTATTCATACCAAGGTGTATTGTGAAGCTTTCCTCCATTCTGATAGAGCTGGCCCCTCTTTCATTCTCTGCTGCTTCAGGAAGGCTACTGCTGAGGGCCCGCACTCTGTTCCTGGATAAAAATCAAACCATTTGAACACAGTGCAAGTTTTAAGTTATAATGAACAAATTTTGTATTTAAGGTTCATTACCCTTCTGATCACTTGTACAAAAGAAATCCAATTCATTCAGTATAAATGGAATTTTTAGCGAGATGCAAAATCCTCGAAAATCGGTATATGTTTTTAGTGAGAAGTAATTTTAGCGATTTTGTCATGCCAACGAGAGAACCTATAACAACTGATACGCAATTAATTGTTAGCGATATTGAATTTTAGCAATCTCCACATCCTTGCTAATAATGCCAAAATCAAATCCTCGCTAAAAATTCTGCTTATACGGTAATTAAAATGCACACAATTTCAGCATATGTTGTGGGGCAAAATTTGACAGGAATCTAAGCCTTTTAACTTGACAGTTTTATAAAGGAATAATAGTCATTTACCCCAGTGAAAGTTATCTCTCTTATCAGAGTAACAATGAACCTTAAGATTTTCTTACTAAAATATCCATAAAGGATTGATTTTTTTTTTCTTAATTTCTTTAACCTCTGCAACATGATGTTCAATATAATTATATTCTTCCTAATTTTTTTTTTATAATTTACTGTCATCACAGCAGATCGCAAAAAGAGGACTCTCTATTCTGTAAAAGTGATGCTGAGGTTTGGTTCCAATGGAAATTTGAAGATATAATTGTTTTCACATATTAATGATTTTGTTTAATTAGTATATGGTTAAAAATCATGTAATGTCTTCCTTATATCTCAAGTTCCTTCATTATCTCCTTCATTATGGATATGTTTCAAAGTTGCACCTATATAAAGGGAGGATAATCCAAAAAATACCTGACAGTGTACTATATAAGTTTTGCAAAAATATTCCAAAACACTGTTATTTGCGTAGTCCTAATTTTGTGATTCTCTGATGCTTTATTAAAATTACCTTTGTAGTCTATGTGGTAAAAAAGTTGGTGATAATTTTTTGCAAATTAATTTTTTGGGGAATGTAAAATGCTCAAAAAGATAGCAAAAATTGAATTATCACCAAAAATACTCCTTATTCAGTATAATGAGAGATTATTTAAGTTTATAATACAATTTTTTTTTTGGATGAAGGTCTAGCTATGCTTACATGTATAATCCTTCAAATTGATGAATATATTCAAATACTCATTTTTCTGTAAAATTCAAGGACATTGCAATTTTACAAGAGCCTGTTCTTCAAAATGTAGATTCTCATGTAGATTTTTTACAACTAAAGAAATCAAAAAAATCTCTATAACAATGTTTGAAATGTGACAAATAGTAACATAAATTATTATATAGCCAGACCCATTTTCTGCATGAAGTTAATCTAGATCTTTGAGAACATGACCATTTATTATAGGTATTTCCCATTCACATTATAAATAGATACTTCATGATATACATCATTTTTTTTTTGCTATCTGCGATCATTAGGCGTGTCATGCGATCATGTCCTCAGACAGGAAACACCACAGGACTTCCCAAAAATATCTGGCATCCCCACCAGAAGTACTGAGGGATGCAATAGATGTAATAGTTACATGGAAGCAGGAAACCATTTTAAACAAGGGGAAGTTAACACACTCTGGGTTTTCCTGACCACTTGACCTAAATGTACCGGTACATGGCGGGTATGCTGATATAAACATACTTATATTATCTGCTTTTTTAAAATGTATACAGCGTAATTTCAAAGGTTTTGTAATATATGCACATGTACATGCATTTTCCTGGAAAATCTGAAATATTTCTTTAAAAAAATGCACATACCAAATTTCCAGATATGCACTTTGGGCAATTAACCTTATTTTGCCTCATAAGGAAATAAGCATGTATATTTATAGCATATATCAGACACTTAAACTTTTCTTTAGAAAGTTGGCCACCTAGTTTTTATTTTTTTAATTTTTTTTTTTTGGCACTTGCAATTTTTCACAATTTTAAAAACTGTACAAAACACAATTTCTGAAAAAATATAATATGGTACAAGGAATTAAATCAGGTATAAGTATCATGAACTCTGAAAATCTTAAAAATGAACAGTTCTTAATAACATTTCAATATTCAAACAAATTTTTAGAAAAGCCCCCCCCCCCCCTTTAAATTTTTTTATGTACATCATTTTTCTTGTAAGTTTCACTTGAAAATAAGTTGTTTTTTTCTTTTTTTCAACTCCATAGAATGGCTATTCCAATAAAAATCATATTGAAGGGGGAGAAGGGAGGGGGCAATTTTTTTTCCTTATTTTTTAACTTTTTAAATTGGTTAGGGGTTAATAGTTTTTCTTTCATCCTGAAGTTAGTTTAATTATGATTAAGATTATTAAGAAAATAGATTGAAAACAACATTTCAATTAATAAGTGAATAATAATAGAATGTAATATCAACCCCCCAAAAAATTACCCTTGTCCGCAACAGTACAATAAATCACGCTATTGGGTATACAATTTTTTTATACTGACTACAGTAAAACTCGTTTAGTACGAACACGGATAGAGCTAATTCATGAATATAGCGAAGTTTTTTGGGGTCCCCAGCAAAATTCTTTACAATTCTTTGTAAAATTTTATGGTTAAAACGAACTCTGATATAACAAATTTACAGATATAGCGAACTGATTTTGAGTCCCGTAGAGGTAAAAAATAATGAAATTTACATCTTTTATAACGAAATTTCAAAGATCTCAAATTTTGATATATTAAACTGACTTTAATTTTGGAATTTGTATATAAGATTCAATTTATAACAAAACCTTATTATCCAAGGTATGTTTTGTAATAATTGCTTCCCTAACATCTTCAATATAGTAACAACATAGGAAAATGTGTATATTGCGAATTTGCTATATAGTTATATGAATTCATTATACGTATATAACGAATTACGGATATAGCGAATTAGATTTACAGGTCCCCAGGACTTCACTATAACCGAGTTTTACTGTATTGATTATATGTTTGAATGGAGCAGAAATTTGTTACACATTGATGAACAATTCCTTTCTATGATATTGTTGAGATTCAACCACCTAGTAACATATTTTGCATTGGTTTCATATAAAGCATTTTACTAGTACAATGAGGTTGTTTATTGATTTTTTTTTTCCCATATTAAGATCTACTTAAGACTTTGTTCTGTTAAATATTTTTGATATATCTACAAATTGACATTTTTTTGTGTTTTGATTCATGTACTGATATCTGAACAGTTCTAAAACTAATACTCTTCACATTAATAACAGCCTAAGCTATATCATTTAACTTCCCATGGCAGACAAGGACTTGCTTTGTTCATCAATTTTGTTTTGGCTCTTTGTTAATAATACTTGCACTTTAAAGATGTAACAAGGAAGAATCTTTTCTAAAGGTGAATGATCATTTATATAAGTGATAATTATTATTAAATCATTTTTTTAAAGTAAAGATTATAATTAAAATCATTGAACTTAAAACATTTAATAGTTTAATTTTACATTGTAAGCTTATAAGTAAATTATTTTATACCCCTTTTCATTTATTGACCCCCTCCCCCTTTAAATATCTAGTACTTATATTTTCTTTTTATTTAAAGTACTCTAGATAATGAATCTCACAATTTCTTTTTTCAAAAATTTTTATTAAGCCTTGATTTATATTTTGAAATTCTAAAACAATGTTTTATTTACCAGTAAACTTTGTATTGAACTTTCATTTTTTTTTAAATACCAGGATAGCAATAGCTATGGTATCTCGGTCACATTTCCCCCCAAAACAAAGACCTTAAGTGCAGAACATTGCTTAATGGAAATTCCTTTTGATTTCATGGAGATATCATAATCTGAATATGCTTCCTGTACATGCTTTTGGTAAATACTCTATGTTGCTAGGTCACTCAGGACATAAATTCAAATAACATCTACATGATCAAAAAAAAAGTTCTTCCCATGCATGCGCTTAGCCATATATTATACCTAGCATATTTACATGCATATATACTTACAGATAAGATGTGGACTTAGAGGGGGACTGTGTATCCTCATGGACTTTGAGTACCCACTCTCTAAATTCCCTCTTCTGTGTGTCTTTTAGATTTGACAACTCACTACTCCACTTTCCACTTATCAACTGAAGAAAAAAGAAACGTTTTTTCTTTATACTTCATCAACGACTTCGTTTTGCAGACTTTGAAACCTGAACTTCTTGAAACTTTCTGCAAAGTGGGCACTTTAAATATCATTACTTTGAAAACAATACAATTTCATGAATGCTTAGTGCTTAGTTATAACTTAAGTTTCTATGCATACACATGTAATGAAACTAAACTTTATCTCAAAAACACACATTTTTATATTAGCTTAGCCATGGAACTGGTAAAAACTCAATCTTTATTAATATCACTTGCACTGAGTAACAGATGAATAATTAAAAAAAGAATGAAAAATGACAAAATGAAGACTGAAACTAAAATTTACTAATACAATCTGGTCTGTAGGGATTCTTACAAATACAGTTGAATTTTGACATCTTGAACTTCGATATCTCAAATTCCATGGATATGTCAAAGTGAGTTGGAAGTCCCAACCGCGTTTTCTTTACATATTTTAACCTCAATATCTGAACTTTTTTCTTGGTCCCATGGAGTTTGTGATAATGAAGTTTGACTGTATATGTATTACGATTTCTGTACAACTGAAAATAGTTTTTCTACAAAAATAAATAAAATTTTACTACATCACTGCAATAGAGTGAAGATATCTGATAATTATGGCTATATATAATTTGTCTTTCAACCCAATTTTGCCCAACAAACCTGTGAGTTGTCAATATGTCGTTGAGCCAGTTGGTTTACTTGAGCATCTGTGTATTTAGTGCCAGCATTTTTCATGGCATCCTCCATCTCTTCTCTTTGCCTGTTTAATGGAAGTAAATAGTAATTAAATCAAAATATGATACTGAACTCGAAATGAATATATGGATGGAGAGAATAAAAATTAATGTTGGCAATACATAATAAAGAATACATGCATGTTTGTAATTATTATGAAAATTATAATTACAGACATGCATGTATAATTGTTTATTATGTATTGCCAACAGACATCAAAAAGATTTTGGACTTCAAAAGTAGTGGTAGCTTTAATTATAACCTTCACACACATGCAATTTCACAAAGCCTATTGTCTAACATAGACTGTCAGAATGAACTACTGGTATTTAGGTAATGAAAGTATGGCACCTCAACCATACATGAATTTGACATAAAGTGAGAATTGATCAATCGGGCTATAGATACGGTCATTTTTGTGAACCTTGCTAATTGAAACTTCGCTATATAAGGAAGCTTTTGTCCTTTCTGGTTCCGTGGTGTTTGAGAAGGTTATTTTTAAATGAACTCAACCTGTTTATATTTCTTTCTTAATACCCCCCCCCCTTAAAAGTTGTCTAGTTCCATATTTGAAAAGAAACTAGAATTCCCATCATCAAAGGATGCTTCATGATAAGTTTGGTTGAAATTGCACGAGCGGTTTTAAGGAAGAAGAAAAAGTGACAATTTTACACATAACTGACTATGCATAATGCATGATGCACAATGCGCATAAATAGATAGCAATAATTCATCTGAGTGACTCAGTTTAAAACAAGGACATAATGATAAATCACTGACTTATTCAAACAACATTGATCACTACAAATGTTGACTAAATTTGGATTTGTAATAATGAACAATAAGAGCCAAAAAAAATGAAAGAAAATCAAACATGTACATGTATTTCATATAGAAAATGCAAAAAATTACCAAACAATAAAAAAAAAAAAAAAAAAATGAACAAAAACAAAGTTGTACAGTAAAACTTGTCTAATATGGATACTACTGCTTTCATAGAAATTGGCCAGATTTATAGATATCATTTCGGATAAGGCAAAATTTTAAACAATTGAATTTACTGTTAGGGACTTTTAAAAGTTTACTTCATATTAGGCAAGATTTCAGAATACACATCATCTGGATAAGACAAGTTTCACTGTATATTGAGTGTTTAAAAAAAAAAAACCTCTCATCCAGGTGTTCTAAATCTTTATCTCTCTGCTGTATTAGATCTTCAATGGTGAGGGCATATGTGTGCTCCAGATTAAGAAGTGTGTCCAGGGCAGGGGAGTGGATCAAACTATGATACACCTCTGAAAAAACCTGCTCCTCTGTCACCGCCTCTGGCTTGGCATAACATTTTACCTCCTGGAAAGAAGAGTTGGAGAACTTGAATGCAGTAAAATAAAATTTTATCTTTTAAGGGTTGCAATATACATTTTCACTGAATTCTTTGGAATGTTGCAGTTAAACAGCCATAGGGAAGATAAAAATTTGAATATCTTGCACTTTCAATTTTATCAAAAGGAGGCAAAAAGTTTGACAACTACTAAATTTTTTAACTTTACAGTAAAAATTGCGATATGGAAGACATTTTTTTTCTCATTAAACTCAAACAATTTTCAAGATTTTGTCTGAATAAGGAATTTGAAACAATCTGACCAATAATGAACAGAGGCACATTCCAGGAATCAATTGTCTTGGGATCAGTTCAGTTCATAAGATAAGTACCAAAAGTTACCTGGGCATGTTTTGATTTGAAATTAAGGAAGAGCATTTTATGCAAGGTAGGGGGTATAGTTCACATAGTTTTACTCAACATAAGATACTAGAATATGTTTTATTTTTGAAAGTCAAAATAAAATGTACATTTTATTCATAAGTCTTTCGTCATATTTCCATGGCCATTCTTCCGTAAAGTTTGAAAAATTTAGTACTATGACTCACTGGGATTTTCATACCAGTTACTAATCCTTGACATAATTGCAAAAAGCTAAACTTTTGAGTTTATATCCTGTTTATATGAATAAAATACAGATTTCAAACAGTAAACATCCTGTTACAATTGTTCATGAAAGGGTACACATTCCAAGTGTTCAAAAATCCGTTAACATCCTGTTTCTTTTGAAAGCAATCACTATATTTCACCTCTGTAAAGGCCTTGTTCCATTTGCTGACAACATCATCTATGCTAATGTCCCCATTTTTCAGCCTTTGTAGGGCTTTCTCTGCATTTTCATCATAAAGTTTGTTGGTCTGATCTGTGACAAATTCCTCTAGCTTAGTCTTTAAATCTACAATATTTATATATATATATATATATATACATCTGATTTTCAAATAAATAAATATCACTTAACAATAGTGTATCTTAATTAAATTCCATAGCCTTTTAGATAGAAGCAAGGTTATGACTTAAATTCAAAAAAAGTCATGAGAGTCCTGCACCCATGGCATAAGTGACTCCTGATAGACAAAATAGATGTTCCTTATATGCAGATAAAATAAAGCAGCAAACTTCTATTTTACTAAGTTCCAAAAAACATATCAAAATTAATATTTTCAAAAATTTTGTCTCATGTTGACCCTAACCTTCCTCTACATAGCATGGCAGATTGTGGGCGTTGATAAGTCGACCCACAAGGTCGGACGCTGACTGGGGGGAGGGAATGGTTACAGGAACTGTCAAGGTGGAGGTCAGGTTCTTACTGGTGAACTGGTACTGGAAATCTACGACCTTACTACCACTCATTTTATTTTTAGGTCCGTCTGTTAAGTATAACATGTTATTCCGTATAATATTCACATGAACACCGAATACCAAAACCATGGTTAACTTCTTTAAGGTTGATAAAACTTTAAATTCATTTATGATTAATATACATTTATTGACTGGGTTTGAGGGCAACATGCCTTTTGTCAGACCCAAGAACCAAACTGTTTGCCTGAGGCCGTTAGGCCAAAGGCAAACGGTTTGGTTCGAGGGGTCAACAAAACGCATTTTGCTCGAGAACACAGTCAATAAATGTTTCGTTATACCTTTTATGTATTTATTTTATTATTTTTTTTTTGGACATACATGCATGTCGAACACCAATGAATGCAAATGAGATTTAGCTGACCCCGCCCATTATGTGACGTAAGCGGTCCAACATCTCATTGACAGGTCCAATATCTCACTCCGCGGTCAAATATCGATTTTTTTATGCCCGCTCAGTAAAACATTGAAAATGTTAGATTTTTATTAGTATTGATTTATATGGGAACAAATTTTAAAAGGTATAACAATACTTAATATTGACTGTTATAAAATATCACAGGAATATTGATTGGGGTTGAGGGCAACATTGATTACCGTATGTTAGCCCTCAAGGGCTGAAATATTGCCTGACGTGGAGTGGAGGGCAGTATTTTTGTCCTGAGGGGCTAAAATAATCATTGTTATACCTTTAAAAATGTGTTCCTATATAAATCAATACTAATAAAAGTCTAACATTTCCAATGTTTTCATGAGCGGGCATAAAAAATTCTATGTTTGACTGCGGAGTGAGATATTGGACCTGTCGATGAGATGTTGGACCGCTTACGTCACATAATGGGCAGGGTCAGCTAAATCTCATTTGCATTCGTTGGTGTTCGACATACACGTATGTTAAAAAAATAATAATAAAAATATAAATAAATAAAAGGTATAACAAAACATTTATTGACTGTGTTCTCGGGCAAAATGCGTTTTGTCGACCCCTCGAACCAAACTGTTTGCCTTCGGCCTAATGACCTCAGGCAAACATTTTGGTTCTTGGGTCCGACAAAACGCATGTTGCCCTCGAACACAGTTAATAAATGTATAATGTTGCCCAAAAACACAGTCAATAATTGTTTTGTTATATAAAAAACAAAACGGTCAATATTTTTTTTTGTTATACAGTAAAACATGCTTATAACGAAGTGCCAGGGATGGAAAAATTTGCTTCGTTGTCAGTGTAATTCATTGTATCCGTTAAGTGTTCAATATATTTTAAAGTCAAGGGGAATGAAAGTCACTTCGCTATATTTAGTGTCAATTTATTATAAGCATGTTTGTTATAAGCATGTTTACTGTATGAAAAAAACAAAAGGAATCAATATATCATTCATTAACATTCAATGTGTATGTTATGGAAACAAATTCAATTAAATATTAAATCACATGATTTGTGTCTCATGCATTAATATCTGCAATTTGATTGATTTTGTTCAATTCTTGCTTGAATTGTAGTTGATTGTAACACTACTGTCACATTTAAAAAAAAAAATTGTGGGCATATTTTGCACTTGATCATCATGGGGTGATCTGCATTCAAAATGGGTTGCTCTGAAACATTGAGCAAATACTAAAGCAAATCGATAAAATACCAGTAGTATTTTACTTTAAATCATTCATTGACTTTCAACTACTAATTGGAAACAAATTCACTTAAATAAATAATTTGTATCCCATGCATTATCTGCAGTTTGAATGTAGTGCTAACGATCTTTCCATGGTTGTGTTACCTGGTTTTTTATTGTGACATCATGTTTTTTGAAAGTTGCGATGGTATCACAAATCAATCTACTCATCAGAATCAAAATCACTAAAAAATGTGGGTAAACTCTCTTTGCCAGTCAATAGTAAAAATTAAATGACTGTCAATATTTTTTGGAGGAGCTAATATCAATTATGTTGACTGTTTCTGTATCAAGAGAATATAGACCCCCCCCCCCCCCCCCCAGCATTGATCTTGATTTATAATTTGACATTAAGTTTTCACCTTCACCTTGGAATGCAATATTACTCAACTCCTATGGATATTTATGCATAAAAACAAATCAGAATTTAGTGTAATTAAAAAAAAAAAAAATTCAAGCACATGTACCAAGATTTTTTTTCTGTATAGTCGTTTTTGAGTTCTTTAAAGGAAATCTTTTTCAGAAATTAGACTCTAACTGATCACAAAGCTGCATGTTTGGAACTCCATGCAAAGAAAATACATGCATATTACTTAAGTTCAAAACCCAATTATGGTCTCATTATTTATTACAAGATTATTATCTGTAATTTATCCTGCAACTACTTCTTCCATTTACCGAATAAGGGTTACCCAATCAGGGTTCGAAATTCACTATACACAACTCGCAAAACGCAAGTTAGAATTCCCAAATTGCGAGTTAAAAATTAGGTAACTCGCAAAAACTTGCGAGTTGATTTTTTTGCATTGAAACTGTAGCAAAATTATATAATATGACAGAACACAATGCTTTTGATTTAAATCAGTAATTTAAATAAAAGTCACACTGTAGTTGTATTTTGTGTATTGTACAGTAGTTACTTTTTCCTTAAGTTACATGTATTTAATTTATATAAGTTTAACTTTTTATGAAAATTGTGAGTAGTCTTATAAAATTGCGAGTTCACTTTCTTGGTACTCGCAATTATTTGCGAGTTGTAATTTTAGGGAGTTTCTAACCCTGCCAATAAACCAAAGCTATATTTGGCCATTGCCAAAATATAGCCTTGTGCATTCTGATGTCTTAAAAAGCACTGTGACATGCTTAATATGTTATAATCTTAATATCTTACAATGTGTTGCATTATTTATGCCTGGCATCATAGTTGTACCTAAATTTGAAAATTGAAAAATTGAAAATATGCAGTCATGTAGCTTGTTTTGTTTTGGAAATGAAATACAAAATTATGCTACCAGAAAAAAAAAAACAACATATTAACTGTATTGAAAAAAGAAGCGATATTTGGGCTTGGTGTCGAAAATGTGATTAGAGGGCTCAGCAAGCCTTTCCTTACCCTCTCCCAAACATTCTTATCTTTCAAAACTGTAGCTATGTATTTTATATGAACAGGAAGAACTTAAAATTGAAAAGACCAGAATAAAAATATCTCACTTCAGAAATCTAACATAGATGCCCTGTCAGCATAAAAAAAAAGAAAAAAAAAAAAAGCAAACAAAAAAAAAAAAACAAAGAAAAGAAAAAAACAATAGTAAAAAGAAACAAACAAAATCCAAACAAAAACAAAACTAATCAGAAATTAAGACAGACTGAATTAACTGATAATAAGCCAGCCTTCTCCATTTTTCAGTGTAAATCAAAGAAAACAAGATGTGTTTGTGAAACACTGATGTCCCCGTATGGCAACTTATACCAAAGGTTAAATGTTCTCAAATGCAAATAAAAAATGTTGGTATCCAAAGTAAGGTCTTGTTTAGAGAAATATACCTGTGAAATATGAAAGCCCTAGCAGCAACCATTGAATAGATATGGCCAAGTTAAAGTTTTTAAAAAGAAGGTCAAACTCCAAGGTCAAAGGGTCAAAGTTATATGCAAAGGAAGGTCTTGTCACAAGGATTACACTTGTGAAGTACGAAAGCCCTAGCACCAACTGTTCAAAGGTTATGGCCAAGGTTAAAGTTTTCCAAAGTTAGGTCAAACTCCAAGATCAAGGTCAAAGGGTCAAAGTTGTTGGTAACCAAAGAAAGGTCTTGTCACAAGGATTACTTATGTGATGTAAGAAAGCCTAAACACCAACCGTTCAAAGGTTATGGCCATTGCTAAAGTTTTTCAAAAGAAGGTCAAAGTCCAAGGTCAAAGTCAAAAGGTCAAAGTTGTTGGTATCCAGGGGAAGGTCTTGTCACAAGGATTACACATGTGAAGTATGAAAGCCATAGCACCAATTGTTCAAAAGTTATGGCCAAGGTTAAAGTTGGGTAAAATTTTGCAAAACTGGGTCAAACTCCAAGGTCAAGGTCAAAAGGTTAAATATGGTGGTATCCAAAGAAAGGTCTTGTCACAAGGAATACACATGTGAAATATGAGTCATAGCTCCAACCAATCAAAAGTTATGGGCAATGTTAAAGTTTTTGCAGACAAACAGACACACAGACAGATGGATGGATAGGGCAAAAACTATATACCCCGAATCTTCGATATGGGGACATAAAAACTGATCACATTATGGTTACAAATGTATACTAAAAGCCTACACAAACCCAAATAATGATTCCTTCCAAAGGAAATCTAGATCATGACAAGGAGATTTTAAAGCATATTTTGTACAATTACTCAAATTCAAAGCTATCCTCTGATTGACTGATTTAATACCACAGGTTGCATGTATTATATATGAACAACTCTTTGAAATTTCTTTCTCTTCACAAGAATGTTTCCAATAGAAAATAAAAAATAATCATATAAAACAAGATGTGTTTGTGATACACTGATGCCCCCATATGGCAACCGTAGCAAAGGTTAAACTTTCTCAAATGCAAATCAAATATGTTAGTACCCAAAGTAAGGCCTTGTCTCGAGGAATATACCTGTGAAATATGAAAGCCCTAGCAGAAACAATTGAATAGATATGGAAAGGGTTAACGTTTTTTCAAAAGTATGTCAAACATCAAGGTCAAATGGTCAAAATTAATGGTGCCCAAGGAAAGGCCTTCTCCAAAGAAATACAAAGGTGAAATATGAAAGCCAATGCACAAATCTTTCAAAAGTTATGATCAAGGTTAAACTTTTCCAAAAGTAGGTCAAACTCCAAGATCAAAAGGTCAAAGTTGTTGGTTTCCAAAGAAAGGTCTTGTCACAAGGGTTACATATGTGAAATATGAAAGCCCTAGCACCAACCATTCAAAAGTTATGGCCAAGGTTAAAGTTAACTTTTTCCAAAAGTAGGTCAAACTCCAAGGTCAACGTCAAAGGTCAAAATTGTTGGTATCCAAAGAAAGGTCTTGTCACAATGACTACATATGTGAAGTATGAAAGCCCTAGCACCAATTGTTCAAAGGTTATGGCCAAGGTTAAAGTTTTCCAAAAGTGAGTCAAACTCCAAGGTCAAGGTCAAAGTTGTTGGTATTGAAAGAAAGGCCTTGTCACAAGGATTACATATGTGAAGTATGAATGCCCTAGCACCAACCATTCAAAAGTTATGGCCAAAGTTAAAGTTTTCCAAAGTTAGGTCAAACTCCAAGGTCAAGGTCAAGGGGTCAAAATTGTTGGTATCCAAAGAAAGGTCTTGTCAAAAGGATTATATATGTGAAGTATGAAAGCCCTTGCACCAAGCATTCGAAAGTAATGGCCAAAGTTAAAGTTTTCCAAAGGTAGGTCAAACTCCTAGGTCAAGGTCAAAAGGTCTAAATTGTTGGTATCCAAAAAAAGGTCTTGTCACAAGGATTATACATGTGAAGTATGAAAGCCACAGCACCAATTGTTCAAAAGTTATGGCCAAGGTTAACGTTAGGTAAAATTTTGCAAAATTGGGTCAAACTCCAAGGTCAAGGTCAAAAGGTCAAATATGGTGGTACCTAAAGAAAGGTCTTGTCACAAGGAATACACATGTGAAATATGAAAGCCATAGCTCCAACCAATCAAAAGTTATGGGCAAGGTTAAAGTTTTTGCGGACAAACAGACAAACAGACAGACGGACGAACAGGGCAAAAACTATATACCCCCGAATCTTCGATATGAGGGCATAATAATGCAGAAATCTCTGATTAAATTTCTTTCATTAGATGAATTTCTAAAATCTAAACAGGAAATGTACTACTCAACGTCTAATTACAAATCTTATCTTTGTAAGATAATTAATTGGACAGATATTCATGATGTTAATTGTTTTAATTATGTTTTCATGAAAAAAAAAAATGCTGATCGAAAAATTTTCTATACAATTGATAACCCTTCCGGCTTTTAAGATCATGCAGATCAAGTTCGACCTTTGTCCAACAGTTTTTTTTTTTCAAAATTGTTTTATCAAATCCAATTGCAGAAATAATACAATGATTACTTTCATACTTATTTTATGTTTATAAAAACTTTTGTCTATTTTACTATTTTTAATGTTCATAATGATCAAATCATAAACACATATGAGTAAAAAAAAGTTTGTAAAATACAACACTCTCCAACACAGACTGATACCAAAGATGCATTTTTAAGTCTATAGCCTTAGATTCACACCAGTGAGCCCATGCAACTTTATTATTTATTATCATGATTGTTAACCTTTAACTTGTAGCATCAATATCAAGAATGGTATCTTGAGTGACTTACCAAAACTGATCAGCTTCTGTCAAATTCAACTTCCAGATAATGTGAAAGGATCATGATGAACAAAAGAACTCTCAATGTCTCAATGAATCAAAGTTCTTCTTCTGCTATGACTTCATTTTTGGGCTTAAAAATACTTCTGAAAGTAAAAGCATGTAATTATATTAATATTATAATAAGGATTTTACCGATATATTATGTAAGGATTTTCACAGTCAGACTGAAATTTCTGCACATAGATTTTTCATGAACCTCATTTAAAAAGGCATTCATGCAGTCATTACATCTGGTAAATAACCAATTATAATAACACTTATTATTACTTACGGTCAAATATTATGTTACTGTTGATCAAGAATCAAACTGGTAAGTTATATTATCAAATTTTTATTTCTTTAACAATTTACATGTTATTTTAGAAAAAGCATAAAATAAAAATTGAAATCTAAACATTTATATTCTTGTAACGTGTAATGCAGCTTAGATCAGAATGAATAATGCACTCATTGCTGCAATTTTTATTCTTTATGCATTTCTTGTTCACTTTGAATGAGTAGGCTCAGATAGGCCCAGACAAAGAATGGATACTTGGATAGCCAGATTGTTCAATGCTAAAGTGACAGCAAATGTAATTGATACATATATTTCTTTTTCAGTTACTATTTATGTTTCAAATAAATAAAGTTCATATCTGAGAGAAAAAGGAATTAAATTTAGGCCTACCAATAGATTAAAAAAAGTCTTATTTACATATGTGTATCTGCATTCTGCAAACAAGAATTACCCTTGGATATCTGTTTCTAAATAGCCTACAAATGAACAACACCACCACAAAGGCATTATGAAATATAATGATAATCAAGCCATTCAATCTTTAAATCAAATGTTGTCTACGTGCAAAACAACGCATAAACAAGCTATTAGTAGGTACTAGTTAGAAACACCGAACTAAGAGGGGGCGTTCCACGAAAATCAGAAAAGAAACAATATTCCATATGTGTAAGTTACACGTGTGTACTTGTCCCAGATCGAAAGACATGAGTTCAATGAATTAACGTATTAAACAAACACATGTTGGGTGTGTTGTAAGAGCTGCCATGTCAACAAACAAGGAAAACAAATGATTCAAACCGCACCAGGTGCTCCCGGAAGTCTTTTACATGGGCGCAGACATTTTGAATACGGAACTGTGGATTGGATCACAAAAGGTAAATAGGTCAAGTTGCTGGAGAAGTTAAAACTCGGTCATTGATGGACGACAAATTGTCGGCTCCCAAACGTAAGTTATTCATTTTTATTGCTTCGTAAATGAACAAATGAAGAACACTTTATTATTTTTTATACTGTAGAAAAGTTTATAAGACTTTATGAGACTATGACGTAGTGTGCTTGCCTATTCGGCGAATCTCGTGTAGACTTGACAGGCGAAGTCTTGCTTTGTTTCCGCCAAGTGGGTCACGTTTTAGTCTACATCAACACAGGCCGGTAAGTGACAACTCTTTTGTAACAGGGACCATTGAATGAAATTAAGCATAATACAAGTTCTCATGAGTTGAAATATACCAGGTGATCAATTATTTTTATGAATTTTAAGCGGTGTGTTGAGGATGTTGTAACGTAGGGCTGTGGATTATTATTAGAGGTCAAAGTTGGTTAAGTGGGTCATGATTCATGCCACAGATCGATTGGCATGTTTCATAAAATCGTAAGAGAACCTCGACTCAGAAAGGTTACCTGATATTATTTTGTGGTATGTGGAGAGTGTTTGTTTCATATTCTGATGGTATTCCTTCGTTTAATCTTGGAATGTTTCATACGTTTCATCAATTCTATAAATAGCTTTGTGGTCTGCCCTAGTCTGGGTGGGATGGTCTTTCACGTGCATAACATCCTGTGAACCAGTGCATGACACAGTGGTATACACAAAGGGACATGGAAACAGGTACATAGTCTGATACCATCTTAAGAATGATGAATCATAGAAGAAACAAGTTTTTTTAATATATAAATTTATTGATTAAAAATGCCCTGTAATCGCTCTTTGATTATGATGAATGCTTGATGTTTGGATATACATTTAAATGAAAGGAGAACAAATTTGTGTCACAAAATTTTTATGTCTAAATACCTTAAATATGTCTGTGTTTGAAAAACTTCAGGCACAATTTAGATGATGAAGTCGTAGAAACTTCCCCCCCCCCAATTTTAATCACAAATATGACAAAAGGAGGGATTTAAGAATTTTATGATTAAATGTCATTTTAAAAAGAAGGTGGTCATGACCACTCTCTCTAGAGAAAAACTTAGTTTATTATATATATTTCTCTCAATTTTATCCAGATTATCTTGAACAGGTTGGTTTAGATTAGCTTAAAATTATTAAGATGCAATGTCACATCTAATCAGAAATGTTAGGATGGTCAAGTTGACTCTCTGTGTTTCTACAAGTTTAGTAAACATATTTCAGTCTCAGACACATACATTATGTGGACTTAAAATGACAACAGTAGTCCCTGTAAGTATTAATCTACTTGACCTTGTCTGCTTTCAGGTTGGACTCAGGTTGAGGATTAGTGCATTTGAATGTATTGAGTTTGTTTAAGTCAACTTTAAAGGGAGAATAGATATGAGGTCTAATTTTCAAATGATTCTATTCTAGAGTTTTAGTACACTTAAACTGGTGAACTCAAATTAAATGTTTGAAAAAATTGTAAACTTTAATTTATCTATGAAAAAAAGAGATAGTTTCAATGATGAAAGCAAGATATTTCACCATACTGACATGAGACCTTGGTTTACATGGACTTATTCAAAAGAATGGTGTCCTCATCCAATGGCGTGATTTCAATCTGAAACTCCTCAATCCCTAAGTCTAGAATGAAATTATGCTCTTGCCACTGTGCCACGCAGATGACTGGGAGTTGGGAGGAGGGGGGGGGGGGGTAAGGCTATTGTGTGCTGAAACAGCCATGTACTTTAACTTCATTATCCAGACTTGAAATTGATTATTTCAATAACAAGATTTATTGATTGAATTAAATTGCAAAGGTCAGTGTTAATGTCAAGAAATACTGATGATAGGATTTAGGAGTTGTGCAATACCCAGAGCAAGTCTGTCAAGTTCACAAAAGTTAAAATCTGGTACACATTCAGTGTAAGCAACCCTAGCTTTTACCAATATAAAATGTGTGAATTACACATCAGGCAAGTGAAAATTGGATACAATATTTGTTATTTAGCTTAGTACAATAATGGCATAGACAGAAGTGTATTGACTCTGATAAACTGAGCTTGGATTAAGTCTTTTAAAAAAAAACTTGTTGCTTAAATTGATTTTAACATATTTACTATTTATTTACTTTTAGTTTTTACAAAATTTGATTGGAAAATAAAAATTATGGTTCTCCAAGAGATAATATATAAAAAAAAGTAAGTGAAGTCACTTACAATTTTAGAACCACTATTTCAGAAATGAGCAATCTTGATATAATGGAGATTATTCATATGTTTTGTTAAATGAAGTTTAATCAATTAATTACCCATTGGAGCAAGGATGGAATCATACTAGAGATCCAAATTTCATGCATCAGGAAAATGAGGGGGGAAAATTGCAATTTTTTCACTGTAGTATATCGTGATTAGAGTATTTTATTCCAGGTGAGCATCATAGCCCATAGTCCTGTTGTTGATTATTTGAAGTTTTGTCTCCTTAGCCATTCATAGTTTCCTGGTTTCCGTTGCATCTTCATGAGGATACACTACTTTACTAGGAAACTTTTTAGTATAAGGAAAGAATGTTGTTTATTGATGTAAAATTTGCTGTTATCATATCCCAAGCTGGAAGAAATTTAGAACAAAGTACATTGATTAAGCTTAAATATTAAAATCCCGATCCTTTTTTGAATTAATTTTTTTTTATTTGTGTTTTGTTTTCGAGGCCCATTCTTTGCAGGATGAACTTTCATAACAATGCCTTTAACCTGGGTCATTATGGGAATTTATTGAAGATTAGTTGAAAGTATCCTATTTATGCCATTTAAAATGATGGTGAAGGTTTTTAGTGTAACTAATGTCATCAGTCAGAAAAAAAATCATTTTTTTCTCAGAATCACAGATTTACATCAGGTATCTGGCACTAGGTTATACCATAACTGCGTAGTTAATATTTTATAGAATACAAATGTTTTGAAGAAAGTAAAGCTCGTTAAGAGTTGAAGGCAGGAAAGATGGAAAATACTGGACCATCAGGAAAGTTACGAACTTTGTAGTAACGGTCCAGAGCAAGACGACAAAGTTTGCTTTAACAATGGACATTGGACAGATATTGAGAGCTCCGATGGACAATGCTAACATCTTGTTGACATAGTAGTGGTTCAGTTTGTCATAATAATTGATTTTGTGAGGAAAGATTTGGAAAATTGAAATTACTTTAATTCATTCTATGGGTAATTGGGATTTTGTCATTTAGTAATGGTTCAGAATTGTTGGTATTGTGAAATTAAACTGGAGGTTTAATTGCCCACTGTGAGAAGAAACATATAAAAAACTAAAATTCTATAAACTCTTGTTGCAATTTGATATTAATTTAGAACAAGGATGGAGTTGATTTTCAGTTGCAATTGGTCCTTTTTGTGGAAGTCCTTCTGGGTGTGAGGAGAAAAATCATGACATTGATAACCTAATTCTCATCATTGTGGAAAATGTCGCATGAATAAAATATTCTGTTAATGTTTATAGTGATGAATTCGGCTATTTTCCGAGTCGTGGTACTTGTTATTTATGTTTTATTGTCAAATACGAGGACATTTATTACTTTCGCAGATTGGAGAGTTATTGTCCTCCCCCATTGCATCTATTTAAAGATTTTATATTTGTCCAAATGAATATTGTTTAAAGGATAACTGTAAGAGGAGTAGATATTGAGAGACAAATTTGTTCTTTGTCACATTTAATATCAATATTATTGTAACAGGAGAATCAATGAAGCTTTTATTTAATGTCGGAGAAAATTTGATGTGGGTGGAGGCAAACAGAGAAACAGAATTCATGGGTAAAATCAATTGAACACTTTTGTGACCTTTTGGATGTTAATTATTGCCTAAATCTGTTCCCTTTATTAACCCAGAAAACTGATTGCAAAATAATCATAAAAAGGTGATTTTTTTGGGGGGTTAAATTCTACTTTGTGAACTTGTGTATAAGCTCATATGTTTGATTGGTGGTACCATAAAGTCAGGGAATAGGTAATGGGTCATGTCCAATTTTAGAAACTTCCTGAATGGATAACGGAGAACAATCCCAGCGTTTCTATATTTATAATACAGGTGTCACTTTGACCCAATAATGAGCGGATGATTTAGGACATCAGATTGTGAGAAAGACTTTCCGTGAGCTCTAGGTGACAGTACTTTTTGAAAAGGAAAGTGCGTAAGAAATATTTATCCAGGTTACTGCGTTTTAGTTAAAACAGAAGATTTTTTTGCAGTGATGAAGAACAGATTTTCATTTTGCATGGACAGTAAGTCAATTCATACCTCATACATTTGACTCATTCAAAGATGTTAGAATGCAGAAAAATAGTTTACCTGTCAAACCCAGGGGTTTTTGGCCTTCATTACCTTAAACTTAAAAATTGGTAAGTAATTGATCAAGAATGATTTTGGATGATTCATATACAGATCTAAAATGTCCCAGTTCAGAGAAATTTTTTTTTTGTTCTGTCAGACCCATATGTCGTCCATCATAAATCTTATTTTAAAAGGAAAAGTTAACGTTTAATCAATAGGTGGTATATGAGAGCAGACAGTCTAGTCTAAGTATGTAGTGATTTCAGGTTATATAACATACTTATTAAGTATTTGTTTTAAAGAATACAGGATGTCAAAAGATCTGCATGAAGTGAACTTCAGAATATTCACTCGTGACTCCTGCTTATATTATTGAATTCCCTGTTTCTCCTTAAATAAATTATCAATTCTATATCATTCTTAGTGGAGAGCACTTAAACTTTTTATCTGTGAAGTGCACTGGTTTTAAGTATGGGTGTGATCTTAATGAATTACTCATCAGATAAAATGTCTATATGCATGGGGAAATGTGCATACTGTAGGTGCTATAAATGATGCAGACATAAAACACAAATTCGCCTGTAGTTGATACTTGTAAATCAAGACAGCATGAGAAATAAGGACATGTCTGACATAGAAAAAAAAATATAATGTTGATTCAGAACTATTTTCTGAAACTGCTGGGTCGAAGTTTTTTTTTGATCCATGAGGATTTTCTCTGATGTGTGTGTACGTCAGTAGCAAGTCTCGTTTGATCTTTATGTCAGAGAATTGACGTTGGGGTGTTGCAGATATGTCTGAGGAATTGTTTACCAGTTTTATACTTTCTTGCTTGGCCAGAGTCTAAAAATACACAAAAAGATACCTCTTTAGTAATGTTAATGGGCTATTTTTTGAAAAATAATATGTTTTTCCACTTCAAACATCAAAAAACTTTTCATAAGGAAATGATTTCAACAATGCTCGAGAGATATTAAATATGTTGATGAATAATAAGTAAATTAGGAGATAGATCTTAAATTATATCCTTAGTTCAATTAAGAGACCATTTATGTGTATTGCGTAATTCCACAGGTCACATGGGTGTATATGACATAAAATATGAAGTACTAGTAATTTATTATTTGTAAATGACTAAAATGAGGAAACGCTGGAACAAATTTTGAAAAGTATGTATTCATCAACAGTAACATGGAGTGTTTTCAGCAAGTTTTCCCACGGAATGACAACAAGTCAACAACTTAAATAGGCTTCCGCCAATAAAACACATGTCACATCGCCATGAAGTTTTTACAGTGTCTAAATCTACTTAATGACCCGGGAATGTCCTATGTGTTAGCTTGGGTAGATAAGCTTCCATGAAAAAATGATTTATTTGAATGTACTAGTCATGACCCACATTTAAATAGAAATATATAGTCCTTAGACCAGGCATTTAAAGGCAGAATATGGGTTGGTATTTTTATGTCAAGGCATGTCGGGTGACTTTGAGATTTTGTTTTAATGATTGACAACAACTATTTTCAGAAAATATATGTATGGAAGATTACATACCTTAGTTACTTATAATATTAAAAAGAAAGTACTTGTACTCAAATATCAATCATCTAGCTCAGGTTAAATGTAAATTTTAGAAAAAAGTAGGCAGTATGTATATTGAATGGCAAGATATTGACCACTGAGAGGGAAAGTGCAGGTTACCCTGGGATGTGTACTTTGAATCTCCTTGATTAAACGACAGTACAAACACATGTTGTATTGACTTGTTTCTGATCATAAAGTGTATGTAATCTGTACGAGATAACTTTGCCTTCAAGAGTTTCAGACTCCTGCCTTTGCAACAACAGGGTTTAGCATGTTCGTTCTAAAGAATGTTCCAAACCTCCCCTGTTCATTTGTATTTCAGAGCTTCAAATGTTTTAAAAAGATATTCTTCATTACTGAAGCTAGAATCATCCTGCACTAAATAATTAAGGAAACCCTGAGCCCTGTCAGCAGTTGTTATTACATTACACCCACATTGCATTGTGTCATTTTAGGGAAATTTCAAGAATTGTTTAAATTTTCTTCCTTCAGAAAATGTCATGATAAACACGTCCAGCAACAAAGACAAAGTACTTTTTCTGCCCGGCCCGCTATTCAACTACCAGCAACAGAAGGAAGCATTGTCAACCATGAACGGGATTGATCCCATCAAGTTAAACGAGGTCTTGCAACAGATAGCCAGAAAGCAGAGGCAAAACTCCAGCAGCAGCGAATCTGAGGGGGCTGTACTCGAACGCGAGGTGGATCGAAGATCTTCACTGGAGGGTGATCCCCAGGGTCCCTATCAAGGTATTAGCATTAAAGTTAAGGATGATCAATAAATTAATTACAGATTCTCATTTTTGGTCCTTGCAGAATGTTATTTCTTGTATGCATGCATGTAATGAATTGGTATTTTTGCAATACTTAGTTTTTTTTTTATCATTGATCACTTCAAATTATTAATTTTTTAAATACAACAAGAGGAACCTCCATTAAACTATTCATTTTACATGCATCTTCTGCACTTATTATAATTTTCGTCTGAATATAATTTATTTATAGCCTGCTTTCATAATTGATATGATCTCTAAATCCATGAGAGTATATCTATCTTTCTTTGTTGGAGATGGTTGAATAGATTTCTCAAGTCTGATAATTTCCTACATGATGATGAATTTAGCAGGGAATGACAAACAGTTTACTTGATTTTTTTATGTCATAAAATTAAAGAAGTCAGGCACTGGATTCAAAGCCTAATTTTGAACATATTTTACTTTCAAGTGTTTTGGATGGCTTGTCAATGGAGAGCCAGATTAGCTATTTATGACATTTTATGTTATGGTATACTATTTAACTAATTTATACTTTACAAATATTTCTCTGACATGTTTCTGTTTGTAAATTCTCTTCTGGCATGTCTATTTATGTAATCGAGCAAAAACGGGAGAAGAATGACAAAATTTCTCGGAAATAACAATTTCAAAATAGAAACTGGGCCTTTCACTGAGGTATGATCATTCAGTTGAAATCTTATCTTTCTGGCCTCATTTGCTTTATTTGTTGTACCTATATTTAATATGTTTCTGTCCCAGTTTGAAAGGAAAGATGGCCCAATTCAAATCTAGGTGACCCTATTGTACTTTACATGTTCTGGCAACTCAAGAACATGTGTTTATATATTCAAAAGCTATCATGAATCACTTGTTTCACTACTTGTTTTGAAGAATTCATAGCAAAATATGTGGGAGGTTAGATTTAAACTGTTTACTAATGGAATATAATCTTTAAAAACTAGGCCAACTTGTTTAATGTTATATTGTATTTCAAAGGACATCAGAAAGTAGATAATCAGGTTTTCTTCTCATTGTGGCGGGAATGTGTAGGAGGCTAAATTCAGCTGAAACGTTTGTTTTGAGTCATAGAGTGATTTTGCGCAATTCTTATTTTTATAGGACAGATGCATTGGAGCAGTGATGGATTAAAGATGCTGAAAATTGTTCAAAACCAAGAATCTCAAAGAGCAGACTCACAGTCAAACAGACAGTCATTGGAGGAGAGGGGTGGGGCTTCCGTCCTGTCCTCCCACAAATCTAGTCGTATTCAATCACCTGAAGCTTCCATCAGATCTCCAACCTTCAATGAGGCCATGACCGTCAAATCTTCCATTCACAACCAAAACCATTCACCTTCCACCACTTCATATTCTGGTGCAATTGCACCTAAAAAGAACAACCGATTAAATGCCGAAAGTAGATTTTTACCAGAGACTCATTCAGATCGCATACCAAGCTCGACTTACACCCCAAACTCCAATCACAGGTCAAGGACACCTTCATCGGATCAAGAAAGGGGGACTATAGTGTCACCTTCACAGGCCTTGGACCAGCCACTGTATATCCAGACAGACACAAGGGACCAGAAACCCCCCACAATATCAGAGATGGAAGGAATGGTGTCTACCACAGGAGAGAGTTTGCCCCCTGGAGAAAGGAAACCAGACCGGGGGCCACCAGTTAACAGAGAACCAGAGAGAGCCATGCAGGTCAACAGTCCTTCCTCAACTTCTGGTAAGTGTGGAATAGTTTGTTGCTGTTATTTGGAGTTTTTCTGTATATGAACCTGAGATGGATGAATCATTTCTTCTTTTGCTATGTTTGATCTAATCTATTGGGCAGACGCCACTGTTGCATTCTATTGTTAATATGTGTTATCACAAAGTTTGAAGTCATCCTTTCTTTTTCCATAATTGATAGCCAGCTTTCATAAGACATGGAAAAAATTGTCTATGAACTTAAAGTGAAACCCAAATCACTCTTTAGTGATAAAATGTCTGCATCATCCCACCTACACCTGAGGCTCCTAAGGGTGAACATTGGGGCCCTCAAGGGTAAAAGGGATACAATTAAGAGTTGATAATCAAGGTAATGTTTTTGTAGAGTGTATTCAATATATGTGGGTTGGAAGACATAATTTAACCAAGGAGATTACGTATTCTATATGAGACTCTGTCTAGAGTACATTCACTGTCTACAGTGGGCTATATATATTGATTGTCACCAAGCAAATAAGGTCAGAATATTTGTTGAAAACCAAAGATTTTCCATAAAAGTGGATTATTTGGTTACTAAAAAACTGAAGGTTGCAGATATTTTATGTACACAGAGAAATGAATCACTTTGGTCGGGAATCTAAATTCCTGTAACCATTGAAAACAGTTGCTGAATTGGTGGTAAAATGCACGTAGCTCTGACGTCGCGTCAAATTAGAAGGAAATGTCCCGACACAATAGTCTTTTTTGTCTTTCCTTTATCTCGCTTATCATTTCTTCTGAACAAGGAACATCAAAAATGAATCTTTCAATCTGTATCTGTTTACTGCTGATTTGGAACATGAATATGGTCCTAATTTGCTTTTTGTGAAAGTTCAACTTCACTTGAACATCATTTGTACATTGTCATATCCTTAGAGATGGGGGGGGAGGCATTTTTCATATTTCTATAACAGTAAAACCTATTTGGTTTTAAGTTAATTGTTTGTTACACATAATATAAGGTCTTTGGATTAAATGTGGCTTTAAAACACTAAATAATGTTTCCACTGATAAATTAAATTTCAAGTTAATTTCAAATTTTCAAATTTTTTTTAAACGTATTACTTCTAATTTAATTAATTTCAGAAGAGAATGCAAAAATGTATTTGTGTTTCTCCTTTGAATTATGAACATGTAATATATATTGATAGATTGATTAGTAATTGCATGGTCTTGTATAGTTAAACAATCATATGATTTAGCAATGACTCATTTTTATGATTTTTTTAGCTACAGTTCAGATGCCTCTACATGTTGCTTGCAGCTATTCCTAATAAGTACCAGGAATAAGTGATCGTATTTTTATTTTCGTAAAAGTCATAATCCTTGACATTTATTGCATCAGGTTGACATCCGCCCTAAAAATATCATAACTTTTTCAAAACAACCATCATCAAAAGAAACTTGCGTAATGGAAAAATTTATTTTAATACGAATCAATAAAAAAAAAGCAAAGTACAATTTAAATGAAGGGAAGAAATTCTGTAATCAAAATACATTGAACAACAGGTAATGCAATATTGTAATGCAGCAGAAAAATGAAATCTCTTAAAGAACACATCAATCAAGTTACTGGAAAAGTACAGCTATAAGTACAGATTGGCATTCCATTTTTTCCGGTTCATCACGGAAACGCCAAAAAAATAGGTGCTTTTTTATTGTGATGCATGTATTTGTTGCACTCTATAAAAATTAGAATGCAATGGTACCAGTCCACAAAACTGGTACCTCATGCAGAGAACAAATTCTCTTCCATGCCTGCTGGCATTTTTTTTTCAGAGATTGAATAATTCATTCGAAACAAAATTTTTGAAAAAAGTCTCTGTGCCGATTTGAAAATGATGTGACCTAAAAGTAATACTACTTGTGTGGCCAACAATGTTTTGTTCAAAAAGTACAAATTGAGAGGGAATTTCAGCATTTAGATTTAATAGAAGTCTACAAAACCAATGATTGCTCAATCATTGTAACGTACACCATGTGAATAGGTACGCAAGACAATAATTCAATGATACAAAAAAAATTTGACTAAACAGATTATCAGAGATAGACAAAGTGCACATTTCCCCACCCAAGCTCTAGATGGCGAAGTAATAATTATAGGTAGACAGTTTACATAGTAGAAGCACCTAAATTAAGACCTGCGTAACATCTGATGCCACACCCGATCATTGATATCCCTCTAATGCCACTTAATTCCATCCTTGTGTCATGTATAGAGCAGTGGTGTAGGAAAAGTCATTGGACTGAAATGATGCATATTGTCTAGGTTACATCTAGAAATTAACCTAGCAATCAGATGAAGAAGATCTATTTCCATGATTTCACACTTAGAATATTAATATTCAGACAATGCATTCTGTGTTTCTGGGCGATCTTCATCTTCGACACTTTTCATAATGCATCTATTGATTAACATTACATTATGCTGTCACTTAAAAGTAAAGGGAAGTTGGGAAAAAAATTTAATTGATTAAAAATAACATTTGATCCTTATGTTTGTTACAGTGCAAATATTAAGGCGTTTTTAATCGGTCTTCATTTTTTCATTTAGAAAACATGACCTTGAGGAAGTTAATAAGGTCAACGTTGGTAAAGCAGAAATTTCCCCTCAAAAACATCACTAAGTAGAGATTAGACTTGTAAATAAGATTTTATGACATAGCTTATGTACTTTAATAGTACCTATTGTACATCAAGTGTGCACTTTAATTGCAGAGCGCGTTTCATATATATTTTTTTGACGTTTCACATGCTTGAGGATTTACAGAAATTGAAAAGTGAAATTGTATTATTTGTATATATGGCCCACTGATAAACTGATTAAGTGAACAATTGGGATGGTGCACATGTTGCTTTTGAATCCATTCTTAAACTAGGGAGTAGTTTGTTATTTTCTTCAATTTTTATTCAAATTTTGGGTCTGTAAGAACTATTATAACATGGAAAATCCAATGATGTGGCCAAATTTTCAGCAATGGTTAAATCCATTTTATATACAATGGTTGATTCTTGGAAGGAATTTTTTACAAAGAGGTAAGGCACATTTTTTTTTCTTAATTAATCTCCTAGTTTGTTTAAACCCAGTAATATCCAATTTCAGGATCTGATGTAAGAAGTCTCAAGAAAGAAAAGCACCTCCTTTTTGAAAACTTGAATTAAGTGGTCTTTAACACACATACTCGTTAATTGATTGTAATTGTAAAAAATAAATATTTAAATTTTGGCAAGAATCAAACTCATCTATTTTTTTTTCTTAGCTTTTCATAAATCACAGATGTTCAGATTGAAACATTCAGAAAGCAGTATATTTTTTGGAGGGTGCATTAAAAGTAATGAAATTTAAAGTTTTTCAAAAAAGACTTTATTTAAAAGAAAAGAATTAAATATCCTTGAAATTATAAAAAGTTTGAAATATTCTCATCAATATCTGATTGATATGTTGAATAATCTAAACCACAACATCTTGAGGCTTTTTTGACCTGTGGAGGGGGGATTAAAGGGGGGGGTGATCTAACACATTTTGAAGTTGTACTCTGTGCAGAGGCTTAAAAAAATAATAATATCCATTAACTTAAGCTTTATTTTTAATATATTCGATCAGTGCATATTATCTATTCAAGATATATTACTAAAGTCAGGTACTCTTCACACAATTGCTCCGAAGAAAATAGTTCCATTCATGATCAGTAGATAAAACATTACAACAAATATTAAGAATAATCATGTATATTTAATACGTTAAAGAAAACAAAATTAACATTAAAAGATTTTAAGAAAATCACTTTTTCCCTAGAAAAGCAAATAAAAAGTTTTCATATTCCTACGCTCGCTGCCTCCTCAGTCTTTTTCATGAAAATATATAGGTCACACTTCGATTGATAATGATAAATCTTTTCACCAATTATATTACTCTCATGATTATTGTTCGTTAATTGCCGTATATTTTCTTTTGAGTTAGAATGTTAATCATTAACTGTGTGTTTTTTCTCTCTTTTTTTAAATAACGGAATGGTTATTATGGTTAAACACTTCTCGGCAAAGCAACGTGATTTTCCGAGCTCGGACAGATCTTCGCACGTGTGTAGACCTAGGCTATTTGGTCTTGCAAGAACAGGTGTGTGCACCGTTCCCTAGTGACGCTTAGATCAGTAGACTGGGTATCAGTACTTGCTACGGACATAAAGAAGTTAAGAACTATACACCAGTTTCATAACAAGTGCAGGTCTACTCAAGGTGAAGCCGTAGACTGGGCTAGAGGGGCTGAGTTATGGTCATCGATCTAACACGAAAATGTACTATTTTTGTAAATAAAAACATTTCTAGAAACAAAAATAAAATGAAGTTTATCTTCAAAACGTCTGTATATTCAAAATCAGTATATGGTGGAGGAATATTCAGTTATGCTCCATAGCCGCAACCGATCTCGCGCTTTCCTTTGCGTTTAACAGCGGTGGTCAATGCATCACTGGACGAGTTCATTGATTACTCTAAAAGGTGACAGGTTGGACCATCTTTAACATCTGCCTATACTTTGAGTGATAGTACTTGATAGATCTAAAGTTTTGCTATTTATGAAAATAGGCTATCTTTGATAATCCATAACGGCTTGGACTTGTTTTGATTTTTTTTTAACAGAAGATTCTATCATTGGAAAGTTAGATGGTACACATGTAGCACAGGCCCATAGTACGCGGGATTTTTTGGGAGTCCCCCCCCCCTCTTTCACTTTGAAAACGTTGCTATAGGCCTGTAACATGCTATTTGGATTAAATATTCCTGAAAATGAGTGAGGCGTTAAATACATTTTTAAAATTATACGATTAATTATATTTAGTTTATGTTCTATGTGAAATTAAAACTATTTTTATGCATGTGCAACTTTAATATAAAGTCACTACATGCATGTAACGTTATATAGGCCCCTAAGTACATGCAGTTTGTTTCCTACTATATGCATATTTTATTCAACAAAAGATGTTGAAACTCAGTAGCCTAAATATTTTGTCATTTTAGGATATTTATGTATAAGGCACTTTTATAGTTGACTTTCTACAGCTTGAGTATCTCTGACGTTTTGTCAGTAAATACTTGTTTTTTTATTAGAAATCATCTGAACACAATGAAAATTCGAATAAATTAAAAGTCGAATATCTTGGATATGGGGTAACCCATATCTATTCTTGTTTAGGAACAATTTATGTCGAGGGACAGTTTATCACCATTTCTGAATAAGTTTATTAATGATACTTTCTAGCGGATACTGGGTAATTTAGCAGTTTTAGTCTAGACAGTTATTGATGGCAGGGCCATTAGACTTAAGGTGTCATGTCTGAGGTGTAAAATTTTTTGGGGATGCTTTCTAAAGTGCATCATTGATGGGCTGATCTATAGATCGAAATCTGACTGGGATAATTATAATATGAGAAGGGGGCTTGGTCACATATAGCAAAAACTAACCATGAAAGGTTATATATCATTTTGATTTTAGTTTTAACTTACAATGCAAGGTCATCTATCATTTTGATTTTATTTTTAATGGCCTTGGCCACTTGCTTGTACTTTCTGGGAAAGAAAAAATTATGAAGAATATAGTGGTGAGTAGAACTGTTGCTAATGAATGCAATTGATATTGAGTACTTGGTGCAATTTTCACCCCTCCTTTATTATGCAGCATTCTCCACCCAGTTACCTTTAATACCATAATTAATAAAGAGGAAAAACTGGTTTGTATTTTGGATACCTAGGGTGTAACCATTTACACACTACATCATCAGTGTCCCAGAGAACAGAATGGAGGCTTACAAGATTTCTATTTTTATCTATGACCATTTTTGGCAACATTATTAAAGAATGGACCAGATATCAGTCCTAGAAAATAGAATGGAAAGAGACTGATTTACAAAATTCTATTTTTACCTGTGACCATTTTGGGCAACACTATTAAAGGATGGGCCATACATATGCAGCGATATGTTTATATGTTATTTTTATCCTAAGACTTTTCTATGCCCTTCATGATGACGTAAATTAATCCTTAGGTTTAATAAAGATCAGACAGATTTTATCTTCTTTTTTTTTTTTGTATTTTTTTGTTGTTTTTTTTTTTTTTGTTCAAATGTTTTGTTTTTTTTTTTTTAAAAAAAATACATTGGAATTTGTATTAAGTAAATATTTTCTTACAAGATGTTGGATAATATGTTTTATCATAATATGTTTTATCATAAAAAAAACACTTTGACAGAAATTTCATTACTATAAGCATTGAAGATTTCTTTGCTTATTTGTTTACATCAATCTGCTTCTACTGTCTATGTATTTGGAATTTGATGGATCTGTCATACAACCTTAAATAATGTACCTGCATGGTTTGTTGACCCCATCACAAATTGGACAAATTTTCGCCTCATTGAATCTTGTCTGATTGGACAAAGGAGAATTGGGATAAATCTGATCTATGCCTATATACAAGTATACTCTCTGTGACCGCTTTGTGGTTTTTCACCCAGAGTTCGTCTCTGTGGAGCTTTTACTACAGTCACTTACAGGTCACTGGGCGTCTAAGGACAGGCAGGCAGTTAATGATGCCATGAACTCCAATATCTCTATCTTTAGGACAAAATACGGCTAAAATACGCCAGATTGACAGATTATTTCTGGCAGTGATTCACTGAGAAAGAAATTTTTATTTATAACAAAATGATGAGGAAACTTGATCAATGAAATCGGCTTTTTTTCTCTCCATCCCAGATTTTTAATTATTTTTTGTGGCCTAAAATAGAAGGGATCTTTAGGAAAAAATGGCTTGTTTACATAATGTCTGCTACAAACCTCGTGTGTACTTTAAAGTGCTTAATACCTTTTTGTGAACAGAGAGTGCAAAGCACTCATTTAAATCGGGAATAATTAGTGTTTTCATAAAATGGAATTATTACGACCAGACACTGATCTACTATGTTCCAGCCCAGTGTATACTGTGTGGTACAGAGCCATACAAGGTACAAGGTACTGGCATTATAACTCATTCACTAATTCTGTTGGGGGGGAAAAAAAAACTTCATAGATTAAAGAAAAAAATCTTTCATTCCTTCTGCAGTTTCTTTTATTTTATCTTCCGTTTGAACTCTGTGTGTGGTATTGCCAAAAAGAAAAAAAAGCATATTACGGGGAAGATCCTACCAGTCGTAGATTATGTATGTTAGTTTTATTACATTTATAATTTTAATTATTCGAAGAAACAGTTTATTTTGGTCCATTTCCATGATTTATTTTTATAATTAAATAGAATTTCATTTTGACAACACCTATGTGAATGCTTAAAAGTATTTCTGAAATATATTTTTCTACGTCTGTGTAAAGTAGCCAAAGAGCTTGTCTCATGACGGTATCGAGGGTTGATAAGTACAAATTTTTTAATCCAAGGCGACTAAAAATGTTCACCACATTTATGTAGATTGATCCTCATTAATGAAGTAGCCAGTTATCTACACTGGTGACAGTCAAAAGTTCAAATATTGATTTTGTACATGCATGCACCAAAAAAAAAAAAAAAAATCGTAAATGTACAGATATGAATTAAAAGGAGCACTGAGTGTATCGACCATAAGATCTTTGTCCTTGAGGAGGTGACTTTTTTGTGCAATCATTAAGGACTTAAGAAACATTATAACTTTGATGAATTTTTTAACCAAAGTCAAAAAAACTTCCCTTTGAATAAAAAATGGGGTTTCTTTCATTGGACTTCGTCACTTGTCAGTGAAGTTGAATGCTATAGCAGCATTTTCTGAAGTTTATACAAAGAACCTTTCATAGTTTAATGATAAATTATACAATATTTAATTAAAATTTGTTGTCAAAAGACTGACTTTTAAAGTTTTGTGTGCAACTTTGTGATTCATTTCAAAGACATGCACTCAATTTTTGCAAGTCATTGTTTGCAGTTTGTGTTTAAAATATTGATGTAAATTCCCAGTGTTTTATCAAATAAAGGTAAAATTCTTTGATGTTGAGTTGAACCCTGAATTAAAATTTTATACTTGAAAATAACAAACATGGTTTTATTTAAGCAATTAACCTGACTTGTTTATCTCTTTAAAGGGGTCAGGTTTTTTTGAAAGAGAAAAACCCATGTCAAAAACTGTCACTTTATGTTTTCCTAGTTTCTGAAATTGTGAACATCCTGAAGTTGTCACGAAGGATAGGGACTAAAAAAGTCACCGATTTTATTGCATAATTTTTAGTACTAAGTTACTTTTTAAGTCAAGTGGAGGTGATATAGATTGAACGTCAAAATTTAAGAAAATTAAAATGTGCAATCATAAAGCAAAATACCATGCAGTTCAAGGTAAAAAAAAATATTCTGATTTTGTTCAAAACAAATAAAACATTTAGGCCTTTACTAAGAATGAAAATAATTTGTTTGTAACATATAGATGAACTTTTCTTATGTATTATATCTGTTATATATATATATATATATATATATATATATATATATATATATATATATATATATATATATATATATATGCATATGATTACTTGAAATAATTTACAGTCAAACTTCATTATCTCAAACCTGATGGGACAGATATTCAATGTTTCGAAATATTGAGGTTAAAATACATAATAAAGGAAAAGTGGTTTGATCATTTGATCATTAGGTGTTCATTTTATACACTGCAAAGGAGCTCAGATTGTTAACCAAAAATTCAATGTCGTTATTTAATTAAATATATCTTAAGATGCAGGAGAAATCTTTATTCAGATTCTTCATTGTTGACAACAACAAATTGGCTGTAGAACAGCTTAATCCAGACTTAAGTCTCCTCCATATTGAAATGTCCATCACAATATGGAACATCTTTCCAGACTTCAGACCCACATATATGATCTGAATATTGATGAGGGGATTTCTTTTAATGACATAACCATGAATACACAACTCTAAAACTGTATTTTGTAGGTCTACCAAAATCCAATGGGGCCACAAATAATAACTGGAACCTGAAATGCTTAGTATGCGGGGACAGGTCTTCGGGGATCCATTATGGAGTGCTGGCGTGTGAAGGGTGCAAGGTGAGATTAGGGTCAGACTGTCATTACTTGAAGCCGTTCATGTAACAGAAGTCTGGCTTAGAGCATATAATCATGTAATTATCAATCCGATCATGGTCCTCATCTGTACAGTTAAATCCACATCTCAAAGGTAGATGACAGGAGTTCGCAATAAACTGGAATAGTTGTGCGTTAAAATTAGTTTCTGTACAGAGATTAAAATATATATCAATACTTACACTTTTGCAATTCATTCTAAAATTATTTGTACATTATTTGTCGTAGGAATCATATGTACATTAAATGCATATTGCATTAATTTGATAGAGATGACATTTTCCAAGCAGGTTTTAAATGAAGAAATTCAAGGAAAAACAGAGAAAAAACATAATGAAATAGTAATAAAGTAAAAAGGCAGACATCTGCATTTATATTATCTATTTAACCTCCTAACGGTTTATTTAACTTCTTGTATCATTTCACCACCTGGTATAAACACCATTTCTAAGCAAAAAAACACAATGTTTTAGGCTTCAGGTAAAATATTATTGTTCCATTAAACTGTGTAACAATAAAAACAAGAACACATTTGGAAGTAAAAAACCAAAACAAAAAAAAGGGGAAATAATGTGTTGGTTTGTTTCATGCAAATCTGTGGTAGGTAAAATTATTCTCACACATAGAAAATGGTCAAGGACTTGTGTATAAATCTAGAAAGAAAAATGGAACATGCTGTTTTGATGCTAGACCCAAAAATAAATATTTCCACTATTTTAGAGTAAACTGATCATATATGCCAAGCAGGTAGTGCCATCAAATTTGAAGTATGGATTTTTATTTCATCTCATTAACATGAGCTTTGATGTGGTACAGTTTGTTTATTATTATCAAAACAAGAAAATTGAGTTGCCTCAAAAATGCACCAGCAAATGTAACAAATAAAGTTAACAGCATGTAAAGGAAATGAGATGAAAGACAAGCAACCAGACAGGATAAGATATTTAATATTCCTCCTCAATATAAAACAAGAAGTAGACCTGGCTTCATTACCATAAAATGAGAACAAACTTAAGTAAGGCCTAAAGATTTTAAAGTAGTATAACATGAAATAATTTGGATAATCAAGCAAAATTTTGGACATGTGTTTGTATTTGAATATTATACCAACCTCCAATTTAAAAACAAAAAATATGTGGGAAAAAATTAAGATATTCAAATCAAAATTTTGACTTAAGGACATACGCAACGTAGTTTGAACTTTATTGTCTTTTTCTCTGGAGTTGAAGAGTTCCGATACTTAAAGGAACTTAGTGCTACATTTAAATGTCTATATATGCGGTTGTACACTTCTTCTAAAACAAGTTTGGATAAACAAAACATCTAGAACATATGTTTAGTAATTTTTGTATATTTTTCTTTGAATTGTACAAGAATTTTCATCAATTGATATCTTTTCAAAACCCCTGGTAATGCATGCTGCTTTTTTGTCTACAAACATCTGATGGCACTATAATCTTAAATTAAAAATATCTTGAAAAATTATCAGTAGGTAAGGTACGTTGCGTATGTCCTTAAGATTCTCAGGACATCTTGGACATTAATTTATGAACCTTCTGGGTCGTTGTAATATACTGCTGCTGAAATGCGTAAATTGACATTTCAATGAGAAGTACAAAGTGGAGGGATTAGATAAGATACTTAATAGGCCTAGAAACCATTTGAGTTGCATCATCCTTAGTAATATCAGCACCATTTATCATGGGCCAATTAAATATTATTATGCTCTGCTGACTTGAAAATCACAAGATCGACCTTAGTGAGGTCGTGAACAAACTGCAGTAACTTAGTAAATCAGGACACATATGTTTTGTTAATTACAATATATTTCTGGTGAAGTTTTTTTTTACCATTTCCATCAGATTCAGGCTAATAGAAAGGCCAAAAATTTTAGAGAGTATTGAGTATGTCCCATTAAAATAATGGATATGGTAAAAAGATTTGAAGTAGGAAGTGATTTATGAATATTTGAAGATTTTTAATTTTTTCTTTATCATATGAAGAAACAGAGGTTTTTTGTGGGTTTTAAATACATGTACTTAGAATAGTGTAGGATATTTCAGAAATTTGTTCAGTGTTCAGTGAAGACACAGCTGTCCTAAAATCATTTAGAACAGGGAGTGAAAAACTGAAACTTTGTAATGCTTCAAAGAGCTTGGTTTCTTGTAGTTTCTAACTTCTGCATTAGCTGAATCCATTGACAAAATTAAAAAAAATTGTTTTTGTAATCAGGACAGGAAATCAATGTGTAAACAACCGAATTAACAGATGTGCCTCTAATCTAAATAATGATTTAATCCTCTTAGGTAATCCCAATAAGTTGACGCGAAGCAAAACGATGTTAAAGAAACAAATGACGTAAATGCCCCCATTTTCATATGCAGTTGTTTGTTCATTTCATTAAAAAAAGGTGAATGAGGATAATTAATGATCACACACAGCATGGCAATGTAAACTAATTTTGTTTGATATGTTTTTATAAAGTTGTTCATTATTGCATATCATACAGGCATTCTTTGCATTTCTCTCCCCAAAAATATATCTTCCCAATGTCATATTCTTTGACATGTTTGAATAAACCAAATCTCCAAATCATTGACATTGACTCTGATATCCCAAGGCTTTTTAAGAAACTGAAACTTTGTTTACTCATTAGTAAGGAATTTTTTTGGGAACTTTTTTTCTTCTTTGGACTTTAATGAGAAGGAGTTGTGCCTCACGTGATCACTGGATATCCCAGCATGTCGGGAGTCGATAGATCATCCTACATAATTAATGCCTACCTGTCTTTTACCTGTACTAAATACCTGATCTATGTTAGGTACTGGGACAGGTATAGGTCACTATATTGATCACTTTGTAGAAGAAAAGCAGGCTAAGTATCAGGGGGTGAACAATTACGTAATCCTAGGATATGTCTGGGTCTGTCACATGGTGACACCGTGTGCATGTGCAAATACCAGCACGTCGTCCTAATTTCCGACAGTTTGTCAATCTTTTATGCATTTATATTACATTTATCAAGGTGTAACATAAAAGGGTAATTAGTGAACAACAATCAGGTTTTTCTGACAATTTGGCAAACAAGGTATATCCTGTGGTATTTGAATTCAGAATGTTTGTTTTCGTACACGGGCAAAAGGATTATTGACAAGTTCAAAAAACTTACCAAACCTTTCCTTGCAAAACAGTTGGAAGGTTTTTATTAGGTTGTTGTGCTGCTAGTCTTCTTAAACAGTCTGGGGGACAAAGAAAAAGGAGAAAAAATCAAACAGATTGTCTGTTTAAAAAGTCAAGTGCATAGCAATGAAACTTAAAAACCCTGAATATTTCCTTTTATCTTAATTCTGTTTGACCTTCTAGGCTTAGTACTGTGATGTAATGAAAAATATTTTTGATGAAAAATTTTGAAATTAGGCAGATATTTAGGGAAGACATCATGGCTTTGGGGAATTAATGAATGTAATGTTGCCTGATCTTTGACACTCAACTAAAGTGCATGTAAAATATCTTTGTGAGCCACAGTGCATCTTATACATCACAGACAGTGTGTGCACCTCATGAACTATGTGTTGTTTTTATGCTTCCAGGGTTTCTTCAGAAGAGCTCTGCAGGATATCGGAGACCCAGCCCGCAAAAGGTGCTATTACAACAAAAGCTGTGACATCACAATCTTGACTCGCAATCGATGTCAGTACTGCCGCCTACAAAAATGCCTGGCTCTAGGCATGTCTCGATCAGGTACAGCCACCCATTCATATCTGTTTTATTTGTCATAGTGGTTTAATTTTGCGTTTTTCTAAGAAAAAGGCTGGGAAAAAATTGCCCCAAATTATTGATTGCAAGTTATCAGTAACGTTTGATGGATGAAAGAGTGAGTCATTTACTAAGTAAACATGACATTTCATTGTTGTTTTAAGGTCACAAAAAGTAGTACAAACTGAGGATTGACTATGATTACTGTGAAAATGTCTGATATTTGTGCTTTTTTTTAAAAAGAGATCTGCCTAATTATAAATTGCTAATGTTGTAATTTTTTAGCTGCAAAACTTGGTCGAAGATCTCGCAAGATGAGAGAGATGATAAAAACTATGGAGGATTCACAAACCGAACAGGCATTGCACGGTCTGCTGAGTTTGAACTCAGAGGCAGAACGTCGCATTGCTGCCACAGCAGAGGCAGCCGTCAAAGCTGCCGAGATTGTACCAGAGAATCTCCACAAAGATGCAGCACCACAGGCTTCTATGGCTGCCCTGTCCATGCTACTCAAACAGAGAGCCCAAAGTCAACATTCACCAGACCAAAACCGAAATTCTGTTGAAACAAACTGTTCAACAGAAGACAGCAATGACAGTCTGCCAAGGGTCCATGTCAAACAGGAAAACCATGATGAGGAATATGTCTCCAGACCCACATCCATCCATGAAATTAACAATATTCCTGCCCACTCACAAAATGGTGACCCTGCTGTGCGTAACTCAATAGTCAGTTCTCTGCTGACTCTGCCCCAGCATGTTGCATTTAGATATCCACATCCTCAACTTCTGTTACCAGGAACAGACGACAAGACAAGTCTGGAGGAAGCATATCCTCAGTTTGTTCAGAATCTGATCAATCACCACAATGAGATAGCCAGCCATGAAAATTTTCTGACTCAGCAGCAGTCAGTTATTGTAGAAAATATGACCCTTGACCTGCGTAAACACAACCGAGGGGATGGACCAGAGGAAAAATTCCATCGAAGCCCTATCAAAAAGCGACCCTACAATCCCAATGCAAGTTCGGATATTTATCCAGAACCAGCCAAGTATGCACGCACTGAAACAATCTCAGAGAGATCAGACTCTCCAGAGTCCCCCCAGAAATTAGTCATCAATATGGGACAGGATTACAGCATGAAACAGTCCTCCCCACCCCCTAGATCCCACCCCCCTCACCGTGAGAGGGGCCTGGATCACACTGCGGTTGTGGCACCCTTTGTTAAACCCAACATTTACATTCATCGAGAGGAAGACACAAAACTGACAATTCCACTATTGACGTTCAAAATCCACGAAGCATTTAACCAGACTTTTACATTCCTAAAACTACAGTTAAACCATATGGAGGAGATTCTGGCACTCCACAAAGATAGAGTGGCCCGTATCGATCAACTGGCTATCAGCAACCCACATACACTGAAGAGCATCCTGTTCCCAGAACTACATGCTCAATTAAGAGTAAATAAATTATTTATGTCATTCATTCTTTTTTAACATTTATTTTTTTCCCCTAGTTTTTTTTACTTTTTTCCTAGTTTGACAAATGACATAATCCAACAGAACATTTTTTTATGAAGTTTTATTTAGTATGACAGATGTCGACATCATTTATTATTTAAGTGAATTTTTTGTGATGATACTTGGAAATGAGGAGGAAAAGTGTTATGACTGCAATGTTTGAAGTACAGTTTATCTTGCTGTAATGATGAAACCAATTCAATCTATGATGCTGTATATCATTTTAGAAATATATTTAGGGAATTTCAAGTATAGAACAAAGATTGCAATTCATAAAACCATCAAAATGATGTAAATATTAAATGTCTACCATTTATATTTGTCCTTAGTCTCCTCTTGATTTATTTTTCTGAACCAAATATAAAAAAGCTTCTTGACACTTAAAATTTTGACAAATTTAGATTTAATTTATCCTAAAAGAAACAGCTTTTTAATTTGAATTACTTTACATGGTGTACAACTCTTTATAGAATCCAGATGGCACAGTTTTTGAGGCGGGAGAGGTTTGCTGGGAAGGATTCCAAAGTCTTCTAAACAAAACCATCCAGGACACAGTGACCTTTGCCAAGAAAATTCCTGGATTCCCTCACCTTGATCAAGACGACCATATTAGTCTTATCAAGGGTGGCTGTTTTGAGGTATGGGCATAGCATTCATTTGTAGAAACTTGATGTGTCGGCCTTAAAAAAGATACAGTCTGCTTCATCAGTTGTCTGGGTTTGAAAGAACTTCTTCGATTTGGCTGACTGCTAGGCAGATTGATACACAGGGATTTCCTCTCTCTGGTCTATCTGATTGTCTCTCTGGTCACTGTGTCTTTAAAACTCTAAGAAATAAATATTTGATACTTATCACTATATACCTATGAACTAGGGTTTTTGACCTCCTGACTTCATGTTGAACTTTACTTTTAAAGAATTTATTTGCCCTTTGTCATTTGATTTGGAACATGTAAGCTGTTTAGCAAAAGGAATGCAAAACACATAAGACCTTGTCTCATTAAGCCTGACCTTGATCTTCGCTGTGAATATACGTATGAATGATCAGAGTTCTAGCTTATGGATGGCTTTATATGTTTACAAAAACTAGGGTGACTGTCTATATATGACTTTGAATTTGTTCTTTGACTTGAGATTTTCTATTTATTATGGATACTGTATGTTTAAAAAGGTTAAAGGAGATATAGGGGATGTTTTCGGTTACATAAAACAAGGTGACACTTCTCTAGCTTTCATTGTACTGAATTATTGATGTTGCCATCACAGGCAACACATACACATGTTATTTTGAACACTTTATTTTGCATCTGAAAATTTGTTCTGAAGTTCCTATGACTGAATCATGATAATTCATATAGGCCCTTTGAATTTCAGAGATTGACATTAAATTGTATCATTTTAAATCTAATGAGGGAGCTAAAACTTTTGTGCAACAAATTGAATGACATCTTTTATTCATATATATTTTTTTCTAGGTTGCATGTGTGATACACTCCAAATTCATTGACTCTGAAACAAATACCATGTTTGTGGCTGGCAAGAATATCCTAGTCTGTCGTGAGGACATGAAGAGGGGATTCCCCCTTGGTGAGCACTTTGTGGAGCTATTCTTCAACCTTTGTGCACGATTCAATGCCTACAAGCTGGGTGATGCAGAGAAAGCCCTATTCAGTGCTTTAGTGCTCATTTCACCAGGTATGTCCATCATTTTATATTTGCACAGCTGGATTTTGAAACAAATCTAAATTATCTGTAATTAGTAGTGTTGTCAAATAGGACAATTTTTTTCATGCTCATCTCTCCAGGTATGTCCTTAGATTTGCACAGCTTGATTTTTTTAATTTTGAATTATCTATAATTAGTAGTGTTATCAAATCGGAGGATTTTTAGTAACTGGGTACTCGCTTACTTTTCTGATTGAGTACCTAATTACTCAGATGGTTTTTATATTACGCCTGAACATTTGAAAACTTTTGCTCAAAAGAATATTGTAAGAGTCTAATATTACAGATGCAGTACTTATTTGGAAAAAAGTCATGATTATGTGTAACAAGATTCCAAGAACTAATTTTGAAGTATTAAGTGATGTTTTTTGAAAATAAAAATTGTAGATCGTCAGGGTCTGAAGAACAGAGAAAAAGTAAGCAAGCTTCAGGAACTACTCATCCAGGCTCTGCAAACACAGATCACTGCAAGTCACCCTACAGAGGTGGGACTGTTTCCTCGACTTCTGATGAGTATCTCGAGTCTGCGTGAACTTGGTGTCGAGCACCGTCGCATGTTGGAAAGCCTCAAGAACCAGATGAGCTTCCGTCATGATCTGTACGCTGAAACCTTTGATCTCTGCTGATATGGAGGATCCAGGATATTTCCATGAAAAAAAAAAACTGATTAGGGATCTAGAAATTCACAAATCCTACCATTATTTGTGATATTTAATTGGTAAATTTGTCAACAACTGTATTGTTACATTTTGATGGTGTTTTACTTCAGACAAGTTGTCCACAAAATCACGGACTGATCCATGAGAGACGTAAATTTATGTAAAGTTAGTACCATGTAATTAGAACACTGGTCAAGATTTTTATGAATTGTTCAAGTGATTTCATTTGGTACTCCTATCACGGGATTTGTGATACATTGTTGTTAACTTATCACTTATTTATTAGCTGTCTCCAATAAGTTATTGAATTATTTATTTATTTTTTGTGACTCGATCAAGAAGAAGGTAGATTGGTCATAGTTCATAGTGAACTGATTTGACACTGATGAGGTTAGGTATTTATTTATTTTGTGTTGTTATGCCACATTGTTATAGATTGTTTTTCTTCTTTTGTCTGTGTGTAAGAATGCTATTTATTTATGATTTTTTTTTCATCTGAAAATTGTGAATTTGAGTTTCACTGATTATTTATTTTACATGACTCTTTCTGAGAAAAAAACATAACTGAGTATTATTTGTCATATCCTTTTTATGCCCCCATATCGAAGATTCGGGGGTATATAGTTTTTGCCCTGTTTTTTTTTTGTTTGTTTTTCGGGTTTTTTTTTTTCTTTTTAAAGAAATGTCTGAAAATGATGTAGTGGTGCAGCAAATGTCATCTTGTTGCTATTTTTACAAAGGTGCTATACTGTGAGAAGTTTTTTGAAATATGTTGAGGCACTAAAGCTTCAAAGAGATGTTCATTAAGAAAAAAATGGCATTTACAAGTATGCTTTGTATAATGCTATATATGAATCTTACATGGTGTTATAGATTTTATTGATTAGAATTTGTAAACTAGCATGACAGAATCTTGCAGAAGGTTATCTGTAATATTTCATGTTGTAATTTTGTAAAACGGAGAAAAAGCAGAAATGGCCTTCTTTATGGCTATAATCCTTGCCATTTATTAACATTTGATGGTGTATCCCACAATTTTATATATCGGTAATCCCCCATGATTCATTAGTGTAATCATTGATTTATTTATTTATTCCTCTTTTTTCAGCCACATTCAGCAACATTTTTACATTCCAACACAAAGCTAGCTATAAATCATGATACAATATTTTCCAACATATTATACTCTGTGTAAGGTTCAGCTCCTATTTCCACCCAGGTCATAGATTCTGTTTACATAGGAAATGATTCCCAATGACATTTGTTCTATTTTCATCTAGCAGTAACTTACACATGGAATACCTACATATCATCTGCACTGTAATACAGTTGAACTTAGTTATCTCGAACACCTATATCTTGTTTACCAGGAATATGTCTAAGTGATTTAGCAGTCCAAACCACTTTTTCTTGATTTTTTAACCTCGTTATCTTGAATCCTCAGATATCTTGGAAGTTTAATCAGGATCCCATGGGTTTGAGATAACGAGGTTTGAATGTATGTAATTTTTTCCAGACATTTGCAAAGGAAGGAACCCATTGGTAAAAATATCTGCATGCATTTCAGAAATTGCTTGTTAACTATTTCTTGCAAAAGGCATATTCTGACAGTGAATGAGGTTACCTACTTTGAAAATTGTTTTACTGTAAATTCAAAATTGTGCAGTGAATAGGTTGTATTCTTGCAATTGGCTTTTTCATAAGTATTTCATTTTTTTTATTTATCATAAAATCTTACATGTGATTATAAAAATGCTCTTTAATTGGAACAAATTGCAAAAGAAAAGCTTTTCATATTAAATCTGATTTTTACTAATATTATGCAAGGAATTGTGATAGAGGATTTTGAACTATTTTATAAAGATACCATATGCTGTATCATAATGCTACTAATATAATTTGTTTGTTTAATTGTGAATGCTGAAATATGAGTGTTTATTGAAAGTACCAATTTGTACTACATATGTGAGTACATGTAATTACCCTAATTATTTTTTTTTTTGCATGTTCAGTTTTTCTAAAAATAGAAAAAGAAAAACTGCATGCAGAAAATGTTCTATTCTAACATCAATTTATGCATGTGTGTATAGATTTTCTGTACAAAGGCTGAGTTGTGGATATTGCTTTTATACATAGCAGAAAAAACCGAAATGGTGCTTCATGTTAATATTGCAGCATTCTAAACATGTTACGATAAAGGTTCCATTATGTCTTATTGACATGTCAACAAATTATTTTTGTTTCTTTACTCCATATATGTATTAACCAATCGCTAGGTCAGATATCTTTTTGGTTGTCCGAAATGCCTCCTTTAGTTCGCATCAAATGCAAATTGTTTGTCTCACTTATGCAAAGTAACATCTTTTTCATTCTGCTTTGGTCCACCCCTGCTTTGATCCATCCCTATAATGGTTGCAATATCAATGTTCCAGATTTTAAAACGTTTACAAAGGACGGTTAAATTTGTATGCCAGAATACACGATCACAACATATAAAACTTGAAAAGTTTTGATATTTTTAGCCTCTTTTTGTCTTTCACACTTGCAATAGATAATCTCTCAATTATTAGTTGTATTAATTCTGAAGTGTAAATTGATCTTCACTTTAGTGTTGTAGCAATTGACCTGTAATTTAGTGTTGTCGAGTATGACCCAAGTTTTGGGAAGCTAGCTTCAGCAAATTTCCACAAAACTTCAGAGACAGTTTGAATAGAGTAGGGTAAAGTTTTTTCCAATTTTTGACCATTAGTTGTATGAGTTTGTATATGTCTTGCACATCCAAAACTGTTGATCTGAAATTCACTGTGTCTCTTTCCATGTTTTCTCGAAAGGAAATCGTGTACCAGATCAGATAGTCACCTGAAATATAATCTGCGCAGTATGTTGACAAAAAAAGCTAATATTTTATAAGATTGATTACTACAAAACATACTTGTAAAGATATGTGTATCACACTTTGTGTGTGTGTGTGTGAATTATGCTAGTAATTTTAACTAATTAGTGCTATATTATTTAATTTTTGTTTGATAATTAGATTTATTTTTAATGAATCTGTTGAAACCATTACCAGCATGTTACGATGTTTGTTACTATTTATAATATTACATGTGTTTTGAGTGATTGTGATGTTGGCCCTTTGTATCTTGCATATTGTATTATAGTGTATGTTTGTGTACCAGAGTGAAGAGAGGTTTGTTTCAAAGTGAATAGTGAAAATTTCATCATCTGTTCTACCTTAAGAAACAATTGTATCCAACATTCTAGTGCTGAGATTTTATATATATATATAAAAAATATCTTATATGGGGAAGAAAAATGGGATAAATAGTGGGATGGATGTAATTTTTCTCATAAAATTTTTTAACTGCAGTTTCAAAAAATTGTAGAATTCATCCCCCCCCCCCATGTACATCAATCACATGTCATTTAAAATCCTTTCTGCTTCACACTGTCAAACAGTGATGTCTGCTGTCATATCCTGCACATTGTCTTAATCGCTTACCGTCAAAGACTGGAAACTTCCATTTTTGCAGTTTCAAACTTGTCTTGCGTCTACAAGGTTCAAATTGGTGCTGGTATTTATTTTTTGTGTTTTTAATAACTTAGTGTTTTTGTCATGCTTTCCTTGTTCAGCAAATTAGTTTTCTGTGTCTCCTGCACATTGAAAAACCAATGTTGGTGATGACTTTTTTTTTTGCTTTTTTTTTCATTAGATTTAGAGAGTTTGGAGTGCTACTGAATGTTGTCATGTTTTTCATCTATTTAATTCCATTTCTATTTTTATACATTGAGGTATAAATGCAAAACCATTGTTTTGGTCATGTCAGTGAGGATTTTTTTTTTCTCTTTTCTCTGCCTGAAAAAAAAATTTGATTTATGCCACACACAGGAAATTATAATTAAAAGTGGATATTGTATTGATAATCAGTTAACCAAGTTTGTTATCAACCAAGAGCACTAATTAACAGCATTAAATTTATGGAGTAACTAACATTTATTTAGCTGAAAAATAATTGGATGACTTGATGTGAACATATTTGATGCACATGAAAGAGAAATCATTTGATATAGTTAATGCAACAGTTGTGTTTAAAATTCTTAAAATTCCTGATTAGCTCAAAGTTAACACCATTACATGTATTAGGTTAATTAAATCATATTTGTAAGAATTTTAAAATTTTCTACATTGTATTTAAAAATTGACAATCTCTAGATGTTATTTGTATGTTGTTGAATGAAATAACAATTTTATAACATTTCTGTATTTTTCTCTCTCTCTCTCTCTCTGTCTAATTTTGAAGGAGACAAGAAATGGGGCATCCTTATTTCAACTGGAAAAGTACTGTTATTATTACAAATCTTCATGTCTTAAATTTATTGTGTAGAAAATGAAACCAAATTTTAATAGCCCTGTGACTTTGATGGCTCATTTTTTATGAAGTTAATGAAAGTAAAACTGTTGTACTTGAAAACTTACATTCATTACTTTCTGAAAATCAGAAGTGTTTGGTAATCTAGTTATTTTTTAAAAAGAGATTGTATTATATAGCATTAGAAATGACTGAATCTCATTCTGTGTCCCTGGCATAAATTATAAGCATAGACAAATAAAATTTGGCTCATACAAGTCTGTTTGTGATTCATGTATTCTTAAAAAAACAGGTGGACTACAAATTAGGCTAATCAGAATTTTTTGTTTTTCTTTCTTTTTGACAAGAGTACATTGCAGGATTGATGAGGGAAGTCATTTATTAAATGCCAAGTGGCAGATGATTGGTATATATAACTTACTGACATTTAGGTTGAAGCTATTGCTGAGGTCAGATTGGTTCACGATTTATGACACATAAGAAATTGGCATTTCCAATGAAGAACTGGATCAAAATTTGTACTGAAGACAAAAGAAGAGAAATTAAAGCACAATACACTCTTGAAAATCAAGGAGAGATGTGGAGAATTTATTCAAAACCCCCCAAATTTTATCTTATACTGGTATGTTTTCCATGTGTTTTATGAATTATTTTCGGGGGTTGAAATACCCCATAAGATCTGTCACTTGAATTTAAGTTAAATGCAAAGTCAGGTTTTTGAAGTGCAAGCATGTTGAGGTTATTGCTGAAGCACTGGCCATTGCCAAAGATTTACTAAACAAATCTTTTCTATGACTTGAACTTTAATAATCTTGCTTCTTTACTCAAATATTTGTCGCTAAACACTCTAAAATATACGAGTCAAGGTGATGTTCAGTGACCTTGACCTTGTTTGAGTGACACTTTTTTTCATGAGAACACTATGGCAATTATTAGTCTACCATCCCTATTTCATATTGAACCAGGCTGAGCTAGCCTACTAAGCTTGTAGAAGCTGCAACTAAAAAGGAAATTCATCAAAGTACTAAGAGTTCTTGGAAGGAAAATTATTTCTTATTGTATGACAATGGCAAATCTAACTTGCAGGACACTGTGGGACGTGGAGACTGGTCCTTAGGATGAGACTGTATAAACTGAGGTCCCGTGTCGCAGTAGGTGCTGGCACAAAAAGATATCTCACTGCTCAATGGCCCCGAGTGCCGAGTATAGGACAAAATTTGCAGCTCTCCACCGGCAAGTAGTGGCGTCTCCATATGAGTGAAATATTCTCGAGAGGGACGTTAAACAACAATAAATGAACAAAACAAACAAACTTGCAGGATGATTGATATGCTCAGAGGCAATTAAGTTTAGCTGTACAAGAAAATTTTTAGCTCTAAATTTTCAGAGACCAGTTTCAAGAGCTTATTCATTGGTAAGGAGTCTGGAGTCCATTCATATGTCTGTAAACAATTCTTCAAAATGCTTTTCCTCCTACAGTTTTGGTTCAATTTCAATAAGACTTGGTACACAAGTGTACTCCAGCTTTGAGGGAGTAAGCAAGTTAGTCTACCCAAAATTTCTCCATTTTAGCTCACCTGTTCAGTTCAAGTAAGCTTTTCTGTCCAGCGTCTATATGTCTGTCCGTCAACCTGTAAAACTTTTCACATTTTGGACTTCTCCAGGACCACTGGGCCAAATTCAACCAATCTTGCCACAATGCATGTATGGTTGAAGGGGACTCAAGTTTGTTCAAATGAAGGGCCACACTTCTTACGAGGGGAGATAATTAAGATTTAATGAAAATTTGTTAGCATCTTTCAAAAATCTTCTCAAGAGAACCACTGAGCCAGAAAAGTTAAAACTTAAGTAAAACTTTCATTACATAGTGTAAATTAAAGTTTTTCAAATCATGGTAGGATGGGGTCACAATGGGTGTTCAAAGTTTTACATAGGGAAAAAAATCCTTCAAAATCATAAACAGCAAAGACATGATAAGTTATATAGATATGAAAGCATCCTCAGGTAGTGTAGATTCAAAGAGCTAGGTTCACTTAATGCATAAAATGGCCCTGCCCTTATATCTATCAGATGACTATCACCCTCTGTCCCATTTCATATATCAAAATAAAATAGAGACTTAGTGCTTTCACTTCTTATAACAAAATTTCTTTTTGAGAATCCAGGTATTGGAAAACAGGCTTTGAGAAAATGCAATTGTTCTTGAATTTTGCAGAAAACATGCGTATTTGACTATCTTCAGCAAAGAATTAAAATATGAGCACAGACCACGATCCAAAAATTAAAACATGTTTTGTGATCTTCAGAAACAGATCTTTCATTATATAATTGCATATTTTGGATCAGAGGTTGTGCTCTATATGAAATATTGAAAAAATACCTCAACTTTTGGCCATTTCTAAGGGAATAACAGGATATGGGAAAAATGACGCATTTTATGACATCATAATGCATTGACAAGAGAGAAAATTACGTCATGTTTAATAGGTACACGGTCACCAAGGGTCCAAGTTACAAATACTGCATTTTCAACCAAAAGTGAGCAGTTTCAATTTTTCAGAAATTCTCAGGGCCAAAAAAGGCCTTAAGTGGCTCTTGCTCTTTGTTTAAATCAAGACTCCCCTGGGGTAGGCTGGGGCCACATCTTTAAAACTCTTTTTTCTCAAGAACAGCAAAACTGTGATTAGTCATGTGATTATGGCAGCATCCTCAGGTTAGAGTCTCATTATCTTGGGATCAAGGTCAGTCTCATCCTCTGTCTGCTTACAAAGAATGTCAAGAATCAAAACAGTATTTTCATTTAAATACAAGATAACAAGAGGTTCATTGGCCAAAATGCTCACCCTTTAGTTCTGCATCAGATTTTGGTTCTGCATCAAGTTTGTTCAAATCATGATGCATGAATGCAAAATGGGGTGACAATAGGGAATCAAAGTTTTACATAAGAATATAGGCGAAAAAAATCTGATGAAGAACAGAAGGGCCATATTGACTCTGGTGAGTGTTATGGCCCATGGGTCTTGTTTCACTTGGCATAGTGAGACAGGAATTTAACATAGGTGAGCTGGTGTCCCCCTCTAATGATTACTGGGGCAGGGAAGGGCCCATAGGCTATAATTTCCCATTCTCAGATTGGGATCGTAGAGCCAGGTGGTGATTTGGGATGGGGCATATTTCAGGCATTTATTTTCCATCATCTTTAGCCACCAAAGCAAACCAACACTTGGGAAGAGCAAGGGACCTTAAGGAGTATCCCTTGTCAGCTTTGGGAGGATTCTGTGGGATTCCTGGGGGCCAGTTAGCTCTCTCCAATTTTTTATTCGTAGGGAAAGTAGTCTCGGAGAATTGACACTGTATGGAGTTTGACTATTACCAGGGCAGAGTAAGGGGCATATAGGGCTATCATTTCATGCTCTCAGATTGAGGCTGAAGGGGTACAACCAAAAATGCTCTAACTTGGGAGCATACATTAATCATTTTTTTCTCCACAACTGTGGAATCATTAAAATTCGTGGGGGCCAATTTTTTTGGATTTCTTAAGTTTTACAGGTTCATGGGAATGTAATTTCAGGTATTCTATTATACCTACAGAAGGAAATATGACTTTGTAACCGTAGTATATTAATTCATGGAGGATGTTAATTCATGGATGAGAGGTACCCACAAAATTGAACCACCATGAAATCTATTGATTCCACAGTACCAGTATTTTATTGTAGCCAGTCGAACAAATTAACACTACGAAAAGGTAGGGGATCTTGAGGAGTATCCTTTGTCTGCAGCTTTTGGGTGTTTGGTACTCCACTGGACCAGTGTTAACCCCTTGCAGTTCAACATTTTTTCACATTGGATAGGAAGACAGGGGTTAAAGGTTGGCTAGGGTCAGGACAGTTTCTCTTTAATATTATACAATAATATCATAAACATAAGGACATAGGACTATTTAACACTTATTTAAATCAAATTTCTCTTTGCTCCAAAACACATTTTCAACAAAGTATAAACTAAATACATTTGATGTTTAAAAATCATATCCTTGGTTGTTTTTTTAAGAAAGTCTTCATACTTTTTTCTCCTATTGGGAGTCCACCCTCTTACCAGGGTCCATTTAAAAAAAATTCTACACTGCAAGTAGGATTGTGGACATACTTGCACAAGAATTGTCTGTGTACCTGCTTCCCCTACTTCTTGTGTAAATCTTTGATCCTCCTATTTTAAACTAACCCTTCCCTTAGCTGGGGCTACAATTTTAATCTACACTATATACATTGGATTGCTAATTTGTTACTTTGACTGCAGTTGTACTGTTATTAAAAAAAATTCAAAGAATTGCTCCTGCATGGTCTTGAGAAAACTGTTGACTTCCACCCCCACCCCACCCCATTGTGGCCCCATCCTATTTTAAACATTTTAGTAAAAATTGTAATTATCAGATTAAAAATGTTTTAGTTTTCTTAATTGAACATTATCAATACATTATATAAACTACTACAAATGGAAATGTTATAAGGTTAGCCAAATGTATACACTCGTTAGTAGCATTATACAAAAGTTAAACATTGTTCCATACTGTATAACACTTCAAGCTATGTTCAAAACATAATGAAATCTCTTTGCACAACAGAAGATTCATCTGTGTATTGGAATTCTTTGTGATAAAATATTTAAATGGTCCCAGTAACAAATTGGTGGATGGCGCCTGGGGCACCAGAATCAAATCCGACAATATCCATCATGCATGGATCTTCAGGATCAGCAATAGTAAACCCATTACTGGCCATACCACACACAATCAGACGGGCATCCTTCACCCCAGAAATATGGCGGTAGTTCTTCAGTGCTTGTGATGGATGTACAGAGCCATAGTTGGTTTCCGAGTCTGTATACACCACAAAGACGTCATATAACTTCTTATTTTGGATGGCATCAACAATTGGAGCTGAGCAGTCTGTAGCGGCAAATCGCAGCCTGGAGCATTTCTCCAACACTGCAGTGATGTTATCCTGTGGTGAAATTGCTAATTTGGTTAAAGAATTCAAGCCACCAGCAAATGCAACCACATCATAATTCTGTTCCGTTCGAACAGTTACCATCATCATGGCTGCTGCAGCATCTCTTGCTGTTATGATTGGAGTACCCATAACTGGAACATTCATGGAACCACTCACATCCACTGCTAATAGGTACCGCTTTCCTGTTGGCTTGACATGTTTGAAGGAGAGATAGAAAGCTTCTTGCAATGCATCTACAACTCTCCGATTTACTTGCCATTCAAGCTTCCCCAGCTCACCTTTCCCTTTGGAGTATGCTTTTATGGCGACTAAGAGAGTAAATGGATGGATCCTGCCTGCTTTTAGCAACTGCTCATTCTTCAGTTTTTCAGTAGTGATTTGTTCCCCAAAGCTGTCAGATTCCAAGAGACCAAGACTGGACATTTTCCCAAGGTTTCGAATCATGGCTGTCATTGGCATGTGCCTCATCAAGGCCCCCCAGACTTCCTTAGATTTCAACAGCCCTGTTGGCACATGTTCTCGTGCCAAGTGATGCTCCAAAATCATGCGTTTCATCTGTTCTTCATTGGTACATTTCTGCGCATCTTCGAACACTTTTAGAAGATCAATGACTTTCTTCAACTCAGACTGTTCAAATCCCTCATCTCTCATTGCCCAGCTCATTTTCCACTGGTTCTCAGTGGCAGCCTTCCCTCGACAAATGTAGCTGACCAAATACCCCAGTGCATCATAGGTGGTCTTAATGTGACAAAGTCGGAACACATCCTGATGGCTGAACCCAAACCTGGCCTTGTACTTGGTCACATGATGGGCTAGCATCAGAATTCCCTCTTTCTTCTTATTGTAGTTTTGGTACCAAGTGGACACCCCCTTTCGATGAGCTCTTCCCCATCCCTTCCCATAAGGATTCATTTCTTGGCAATACTTAACAAACTGGAACAGGTGTGTTGGAATTCGACAGACATCTGACAGAATCTTGTAGCCAGCTTCTTTAGTTGTGGGGTCATTGGAACGACAGCTCAAAGCCAAAGCAAACATGATTGGATTTGCTTTGCATGCTTTGTTCTCCACACTGAATTCTCTAATTGTCTCCACAACTTTCAATCCATCACCATTGTTGATCATCCTAAATAAAAATCAAACAATATAAAAATTTACTTAAATTGACGTCAGTAAATTAATCAAACAGATCTGCTGTAAATTGTTCACAATTTTATGTTTGAATATTCCCGATCAGCTGCATGTTTCGTAAAAGATGTTCATATTAAACGATACAGCAAAGTACACGGAAGGAGGCTATATTTATACATAGCCTATTTCCTCAGATGTTTCTAATACCATTTCTAAGACTTTTCCTTGTATTTAAGAATGTACAGGTCAGCAAATAGTGCTTCACTGATTTGTATTCAGTTTATTACTTAGCTTTATACTCATACATATACACTCTTTTTATGAGCATTGTCGAAGTATATTAGGAAAGATAGGAAATATACAGATATACAGGATATCTCATTTTCTATGATGATCAACTCATAAACTAAAAAGTCTTAACTTCTGATTAGTTCAACTAATAAATGCTCTATGAATTAAAGTCAAAGATTACAAGCAAGCTCCTATATTGAACAAATTTTACTGTATCATGTCAATTGATGCAGGTTGACTATATTTTATAAATGGGTCCATACCTGACAATGCATCCAGCGTTTTCCCTGGTCAAATCTCGTTCACCAGTGTAGTAGGTACCCCCATCCGTCCCAATACACAGGAACCGACGAAGTCGGGTTTCGTAGTCAGTCTTGAAAACATAACCCTCCGTGCTATTCAATGTCTGATATGGAGCCAACCTCTCTGAGACAGGAACTTCAGCGCCCTGTTGAATAGAAAGCCCTGTCCACTCATCCTCTTCAATCTCCATTGTTTCATCATCACTCATATTTGCGGACCCAGGACTGAGAGAGGGTCAAACCTCAATCTTTCAGTCCCTAGTCAAAAATGAAGATCTTCTTCGTGAAGTGAAACTGGAAATACCCTAACCTATTTTTAGCCATGCCACAGGGAACTATGGAACGTCGTGCGAACTTGTAGAATTTTATTATTATTTTGTTACAGAGAAGGTCTTATACGGAAATTCCTGCTGCTGCTGTGTCTTTTTTCCTTTAACCCATATACATGTATATATTTCCAATTATTTACCATCTTTTATTGTATTTCTTTGTGTGTGAGTAAGGAGGGGGGGGGGGGGTGTCAACTTTCCTAATGGTTGATTTCAAAGCAAAATTCTCCCTAACAATTATTTACTATATTTTAGTCATGAATGTATGATTTTTATTTTACAGTTATATTTACAAATTATAATATAATTGAAGAAGAACATATCAACTTTCAATTTTGTTTATGAAAACTACAGGCTTCCATATTTGATAAAAATTCCCATTGACTAAAATATTTATCATAATGCTCTAAAATTAATGACATGTAATGTGTAATACAGGAAGAAAAGCTATTTACAACTTTATAATGTACATTGAATTTATACGTTCAACTTGGATTCTTTATGTCGATCACTTGTAGTAGCTAAATTATTTTTTTTTTCTATGTCTTTTTCCATCCAGGCAATTCTTATTTCATCAAACAATTTCACATATGTAATCAATGTTAAAATCTATCAGCTATAGGTAAATTAGGCCATTAAGTATGTATTAACATACCTGGCAAAACTCTAAAGTGTAAAGGGGGAAAAGTATTACATTAAGATTATACACTTTTTTGCATTTAAAACTTTTTTTTTTAAATAAAAGATTCAGCAAAAATAGCACTTAAATGAAAAAAAAAATTACCTAAGTAAAAATTAAAACACCTGTTTAATCTAATTGTTTTCATTGCCACCCTTGGCTAGGTGAGAAATCCTGTCTCATTAAATCTCATATTTTATTTATTGTTTCTTACTGGCAAAAAGGCCTTATCACTCCGGCCTTACTTTTATTAAAAAATGTCATATATCTAGAAATGATTGTATTACATAATTATTGTATGCTACAAATAATTGTATGATTTATGCATATCTTCACATTCTAGGATATTGTTTAAATGTATGAACAATTGATGATTCTTGTATGTTGTGCCTTTGCCAATAATTGTTATTGTGTTTGCGCCAATAAATATTGTATTGTCTATTTTTTAAACACAAAACATTAAAATTTACAATTTTATTTAACATTGAATTTATATTCATCACATTAGCATTGAAATACCTTCAGGTCACACAATCAAATATTTAGGATGTCAGTCTTACTCTCCTGCAATTTCTTTAAAATCTTTCAACAGTTCACATAATCCAAGGAATATACTACTAGTATATGGCACAGACGGATAACTATTTAAAATCTTCATTCTTGGAGGACAATGAAATAACAAACTACATTGTAATAAGCTTTCTAAAAACAAACAAACAATTCACATTTAAGATGTAAAAAAGAAAAACAACAAACAAAACACAAATTCATGAATGGTTCAAATAAGTTTGACAATTAATTACACTTTCAAATACTTTAAAATTAGATAAAAAAAATTTAAAGCTGTTGCTCCTATAATAATAAGACAATACTTGTCTTTATTAATTATAATAGTAAAATGAAAATTTGTTCAATCACTGTTAAGGAAATGAAAAAGTTCTAAACTTCTAATCAATAAATTAATCTCAAAGTCAATATGAGGAATACACTGATGGAGTGACATCCCTTGATCTAACACAAAGACTTGATAGTTTAATATTTTAATTAAGTGTCATTAACAAGGTACTAACATCAACTTGGAAGTGGTCTCAGATCTGGCTGTACAAATCTGTAACAGGAAAATAAATAAAACCTATGTTTGAGAAAATGAACACTTACAATGGGTCTATTCAAAAATTTTACTTTTGAAACACTCAAGTTAAAATTACATGTTCTACATTAAGGAAGCTCTAAACACTGATGAAAAATGTTTTTCTGGCTGTAAGAAAATTTGATCATATATAGGTATACATACTGAGTTTATTTAGTTCATTTTCAACATAGGGTACCTGTCATATTTTTCCAGAAAAAAAAGTTCTCAGACAATAGTGAACAGAAATTCCATTCGGAAAATACATGCAAATAAAGTTTTCAATTTATACTAGATCAAGATAAAGTACTTTAATCTATATCAGATTGTGTCATTACATGTACTGTACATTTCCCTTTTCCCCAGTTTACATCAAAGGGCAGATCTCTAACTGCAAAAAACTACCATAGAATTAGGACTCTGTCACCAGTGTTTAGAGCTTCCTTCATTCATGAATCACAAGTCGAAAAATTTGTCAAAGCAAAAGGCAAGGATTATGATAACTTTCCAATATCTTCATAATATCAATTACTATACAAAATCCAATATCATAGATAGAGATCTACATATCAACTGTAACTTACTGGTGTCTGGCAGTGTCTGAGTACAGATGTTTATGGGAGTAGTATTGTGCTATAACGGTCTTGTCAAAGAGGTATGGGTTTCTGTCTACAAACTCCTCAAAAGTGTTAACTCCAGGGGACTGCTTAATGGCATGTGCTACCTCCGCAATGTAGAACATGGTTATAGTTTCATGGTATCCAAACTTTACCTTCAATTTAAATTTGCTATTTTAGTGAAAAATTTAACTAAATAAAGGCACATAGTATAATTTTTTTAAAAAAGTCAATATGACCTGCTTCTTGCGATTCGTATACTTGAACATTTTAAGAATTGCAATTTACTGTGAGTAATATTTTCAAATTATCACATGCATAATGACTTAATTTTTATGGTATTCAATTTATATAATTAGTAACTACATGTATAAGAAAATAATTTAGATACAGAAGATCTTCAGAGGTACATGTATTTGTAAAAACTGGGATTAAACATTTGCAGAAATTTTACATATTTTATATAATTTAAATATAATGCCATCTTTAAAAAATTGTTTGTTTGCCCTCCCCCGACCGATTGGCTAAAATTGGCCTGACCCAAAACTTTTTTTTAACCTCCAGGAAACGATAATTTTTTTCATTTCATTTTGGAATATTTAAATTTTATTTTTATATATTTTGAAAATTCAGCATTGATGTTAAAATTTTCTTGGGAAAGAAAAAATTTCCCATCTACCTACTGACCCAATATTTTTACCCTGAGTCAGGAGAGGACAAACAAACATTATTTTAAAGATGGACTTAAATACCTTTTCTTTGTTTTGTTCATTAAAATGCTGAATACCCTGCCTGGAAAAAAAAAGAAAAAAAATCATATTTCAGAAATTTAAATATGAAGTACAAGACATTTATGTACAAGTTAAGTATTTTAAGTCCACATACCTTATGTGTGGTGTGGCTGCCTCTTTGCCATATTCTGTGATGTAATTCCAGGCCATCCTCAAATGTGCCTCATGAGTCCAATCCTCAAAAGGCAACGTGGCATCCTCAAATGCTTGGATAAATATTTCATCTCCTACAGATCTAAATGATCTACAAGTAACACAAAATGTAATATTGATAGCTAATACACAATTTATGAAAATTTAATAAGACATTAAAAAAAAATAGCAAAATAGATCTCATTCATTTATTAGAAATCTTTCTTAAAAATAGTTCATTCATTTATTAGAAATCTTTCTTAAAAATAGTAAATCATGATTCCTAGCACATGTTACATTTCAAAGAACATACCATAGATACATGTAAATTGTTTGTGTATTGTTACACATGGATAGAAAAACACAATCCTTATGTGCCAACAGAAACAAACCACAAATTCTACTGTGTTTTCTTACCTTATATAGTACAGGAGAGGGTTGTCCTCTGACTCATTAATTTCAGCATTGACCACACCCCCATACCACACATGGTGGTCGCCTACAGTGTGTACTGAATGGGCACGGCACTCCATTACTGCAGCACAGTCAGAAATTATTGGAACACCCTGTATTAAAAATGTCAGATATATACAACAATATTAGAATCAGCCTGTATTTCCTTTTTTTTTTTTTGAAATTTACAATAATCATATCGTAATACATCATTGGAAACCCACGGCCAGTCTCGCATACGCTTATTGACTGGTCAATAAGCGTATGCAAGATTGGCCGTGGGTTTCTGCCAATGACCCAAATATTAAACTAGATGTACCTATAAAATATTTATTTGAATCAAAATCTGACTTACAAGCATAACATGAATGGTTCAATGCAGCTGCAGATCAGTAGCTCACTGGTCTGGCAACCAGAGAGCTACAGTGCCACCCCTTGGAAAAAGTGTGTATTTATTGCGCACAAAAAAGAGCAGTGTTTCTCAATTTATTTCTAAGTATATATAAAAATATTACTAACTGTGTGTTCCTAACATATTCTTTTACTACTTCCACAACAAAACTGTATGTACAAGTCATGTACGAAGCGTGTTGGACCGAATTGTCTTTCCACCCAAGACGGCAGTATAAATATGTGAAATTTTCGATGGTCTCAATTTCAGGCCAGGAGGGCTACCGTACATACTCGCCTATAAGTAAGTTTTTTGGGAGTTAAACTTGGCTCCAGAACTCTTTATCCGACTTATACGCGAGTTATAAAAGAGAATGGTATTTAAACCGGTCAATCCCTCTAACTGAAGCTTAAAAAATAGAACCGACTTACAGGCGGACCGACTTATAGGCGAGTATATATGGTATTTACAATGGTTGGGGGAAATGTTTTATTGTGGAAGTAGTGAAAAAATGTTAGGAACACACGATTTGTAATATTTTGAGATGGTAGTTTAAATATACAGAGAATTTTAAAAAATTGAGAAACAGTGCATTTTTTTGTGCACAGTAAATATACACTTTTTTCAATGGGTGGCACTGTAGCTCTCTGGTTGCCCATCCCAATTTTTCCAGATCAGCGAGCTACAGATCTGCAGCTACTAGGTTCAATGCTAAGAATTTTATTTGTGCAATTGCATACAATTAATTTTTGTGCACTTACTTCATTTGTCTGTGCATGGGGAATTTTCTTGAACTGACATTCTTCTGTTTCCATATGTTTTGCAAATTCTACACCATACTTTACCTGTCAACAAAAAAAAAAAAAAAAAAAAAAAAAAAAAAAAGCAATCATTTACACACAAACAATCTTTTGGTTTTTTTTTTTTTTTACAAATTTTTTAACATTGATTAGTTCATACATACTTTACATGTTTACTTTGGAAGTACTACAATTTTACTCAGAGAGTCATTAATTACCATTATGTATTACAAAGGGATCACATCATTATTTACCTCAGTTATACACTTGTACACTTTTAGTAGGGCTGGGACAACATATCGAAATACTGATTCTGTGTGAGGATATATCAATACACGTGTAAAAGTATTGAAATGGAAAACAAAATTTCAAGACTTATTTTTTTCTTTACTTTACTTGACACTTCGGTTTAAAATAAATATTTTAAATACAAATATTTAACAAAATGATTAACATCACTTTTGTTAAATAATTTTGTTTTGCAACAGATATTCAGCTACTATGAATATTGTAACGAAACCGAGGGTATAAGGTTGTTACTTAATCAGTTAATCGTGGGCCGCTGTTGGTTTCTGGTAACTGGTCAAGGTTGAAATGGTTATCCACAAAGTTTATATACAATCGGAATAATGACCAATTTTTGGTCCACTGAATAATTGGCGAAATGACCAATTTTTAGTTCACTATAATATCTGCACTAGAACCGTGACGAATAACACGTTGTAAAGTTTATGATATTTATTAAGACGATCAAATGGTTCAATTATAAGCACAATGATAAACTTGGTTGGTACAACGTTATTTTGTTAATACAAAGATGACGAACCAATGGTCAATCCAGGACGTTTCTACTCTGAATGACTCTTCACTAATGATTTCGTATACATAGACTTGGTACCGTTTGTACATACCACTGTCTTACACCCGAAGTATACGGAGTCGCAACCCAATGCAGACTGACTTCTAAACACAAAACAGCTGATTTTATAGACAAAAGTTGTTATGATGACGTATAAACGTCAGATACCAATAATGTCACAATCAATATCTAATTTGTAAGTTAGCGGGTTTTGACCACTAAAATTACTTAATAACGTTGTACCTATATAGAACATATACAACATAACGCTTTGTAATTACAATACATAAATCAAATTGATAAAGTTCAAATAATAAATCATTGTTCAATTCTTTCGTTCATTGTTCATTGACAAATATTTTAGTAGTTTATACACATCGGGTTCAGGGTCCGTTTATTCGGAACTTGTCAACAACAGTTAATCCGAATTTCACAGGTAAACTTAGCGGAACGTAACAATATATTAATCTTATTTGAGAAGAAATATAATATGTTTATATTGTTTATTTCAATATAAAATGAACATTTGAAAAAAAAAAAACAGTTAAAAATACTGTGATACATACTGTATCATAGCACAAATATTGTGATACATATCGATACAGAAAAGGTGTATTGTCCCAGTCCTATCTCTTAGTCAGTTTTTCTCACCTGGTTTTGCTTAAGCACATGGATGGCAAATTTTTGAGTTCTTAACAGCAACTCATGCATGTGACTACAATGAAAAGGATTTTTTTTTTAAACTGAGTTAACTGACTATTTACAATTCCTCAAACTGAAGTCCCATCAAAAAGCTTTAGTTTTTCTTTATTAACAAACAGAGCACTGACAGTATGGAATACTGGTACCTTGGATTGTTGATACAGAAGGAGACAATGGGAGGATGGTAGGAGACATTGGTAAATGATGTACAAGTCATTCCTCTCTTTGACCAGCAATCTCTCAATATGTCATACTCTCCTGCAGTCACAACTACCACTGAGCAGAAATGGAGCAAGGAGTTTTTTAATTAATTGATTTGTTCATATTACACTTGCAAGCATTGTTGCCAAGAAATGTACAGATGTTAGTTACATGCACTTATTGACTTACCACACTGAGGGACTTTTCCCATTATCTTTTTGTAGTTTTCTGCTGTGTGGTGATCTTCTAATGAATTAAACTTTGAGGATACTGTAAGCATGAAATATGTAACTTCATATAATTACATAACTGATCTATGATTATGAACATAATGAAAAAAAAAACCAGTTAATGTAGCAATAATACTATAGTTGTATGTTTGTTTTTAATAAGAATCACTTTCATTACAGCAAGTAAGTTTTTTAAGTACATTAAATTGGTATACAGTGCATAGGCTATACTCTTCTGTATAAAATATTATATTAATTTATTATTCATGCTATATAACAGCCAAAACAATTAAGTACATGCACTGATCGATCAACACCCAACTTGTGAAATACTGGTCCCTCAACAGAGAAATCCCTTATAAATATTTCAGCATGAATGATACTATCATTTTTAGGCACCAGATATATTTTTAAACTATATATTATTGATTTTACGAGATTTAAATTTCTTACCTGAGGATACACCTCTGGAACCCCCGCATCTGCAGCACCTTTCAGACCATCCTCTCAATATTCCTTGGTCTGTCAACCCCAAAGTCCTCCCCAGTTTTGACACTAGTCTAAGATGTTTCATTGTTCTTTCAGTAGATAAAAGAAAGTTGTGAAATAGCAGTGTAAAAATCTTTTTGTGAATTTCCTTTACAAACCGAGGAAATCCGGGATGAATATTTTTTGATTATGTGTCAACTTGAATAAAGTCATATGTAATATAAATGTATATAAATTAATACAAAGATTTGCGTGCATTTAAATGATATACTTACAGTAAAGCTGTGTAAAAGAGGCCGGTAAAATATTATTAAAAAATACTTTTACATAATAATAATATTTCTTCCTTCATGGGTACCTCGATCCCGATGAAAATGTAGTAGGCAACAATATTGCTCGCATATTAGGACGCAGAAGAACCAATACAGCATTTCAACTACTTATGTGATAAAATTTTCTAATTATGAGTAATTCTTATTATTTTATTGCCAGAAAGGCGGTGGGTGGTAGGCCTATCATTTTTTCCATTAAGTTTTGAATTACGTCACAATTGATTGACATCATAATAAATTATTGCTTACGTAACAATGGGATGACGTTAACGTCAAAGAAACAAAGAACCACAGCATAATTTTACACAGATGTAACCTATCATATCATTAAACATGCCTACAGCAAGCCAAGCAATGATAGTTATGAGCGGAGAGGGAGAGGATCCAAGAATACCACGAAGGAGATACAACGGAGAGACCGGAGCCTTCTCTGTTGCAAATTACGATATGGAATTGGCTATCCGTTTGAAGAACATTGGATTCTTAAATCAGGGAATTTCTGGTACCGGATTTTCGGACCAAATTCCAGGAAAATATACAAAGATGAAAGGACTCTCCACAAATATGGGTACATATGATCCAGTTAGAAGGGTCTATCGTTGGGAAGTGTCTAATTCACACACAGAAAGACGGCCGCAAATAAGAAGTAGTGACACTAACACAACGGAAAACATTGTATGGTTCCCAAAAAGAGAGCGCGTGGATAAGAGGCATGACTTAACAGGAAATTTATTGCCAAAACTCAGTGGGAAATCAGGTAGCACTCCAAATGTCACGTTAGAGGATTTGGGATTTCGAAGGAGAAAAACTGTAACAAGAACTTCTGCTCATCCTAAGAGTGGAACATCTCTTGCATCACTTGGAACAAAGTTTGTTCTGTCTCCTAACGAACGCCACACAGTGTCCATAGAGAGTGTTTACGAAAAGCCTGAGCAAGAAACACGAGTAGGGGACTCCTTGGAAAACCCAGTGAAAGAGACGTGAGTTATACTTATCAACAAATTACTATACCTCTATATATATGATATACATGTAAGTGACTATGGTATATGATAAACATGTAAGTGAACAATTCGATTGGTATACTCATGCATCACAGATTAAAGGAATTTGCACTACGTTGAGCAGGATGAACATGCATTTTATTTTTGAGAATGTTCTTATCACGTACATTTGCAATAACTCCTGTAGTCTACTTTTTAAAGAAAACTTGATGCAGTGTTACCCCATTACGGATGTCACTTTGAACAAGTCATTATACTTTTTCCAAATACAATTCAATTCCATTCTAATTCTACCCCCTTCTCCTATCACCACCACTACCACAGTGTTTACAAATATAACAGTCAAGCAATCCAAAAAAAAAATCTACAAAAGCAATAAAAGCAATAAAAGCAAAAATATTTTTTAAAAAAATTAGTACCTGTTTCAAAATCTCAAAAGGGTAAAATTTTGGAAAAATAAAAATATATTTAGTACAACAGAGAAGTGTATACATAATAAGTGCAAACTCATTTTCAGTAAAGATACGAAATTTACATATTACATGTATTTACGTTTCTATTTCATTCCTTTGATATTGAATGATCTATTCTGGTATTTTAAAATCAATACAAATACCAAATAAATAATTGTTAACAAAAACATTTTTAAAGTGTTTTCAACATTGAATTAACACAATATTTCATCAATGATCATATATTTTTGAAATCGATCGACTTTATTGTTAAAGGAACAAAAACATCAAAAATGTCAATATTTAAATAATATATGGAAAACTTCCAAAAGGATTTCACAAGTGAAACATCATAATTGCAATTCAGTAGTGTACGTAATTGAAATATAGTGTTCAAGAATCTCCAACTTCTTCTTGCAGACCAAAACCTCAAAAGCTTTCATTACTGGAAGATGTAAAAAGGACGGTGAATTACGACAGCCGAGTCCAACCGGCGATGTACATGCGCAAAAACCGCCCACCACCGAATCCGTTCGCAGTCTGTCTTAGCTTCCGGGAAAACGATGATTACACCCACACCGATGTCAGAGACATCCTGGAATCGCAGCTTGGTCTCAAAGTCCGCTCTGTTCAGTATGATCCTTTGTCGATCCGCTCATCGGATCCGGATGTGGGAACAAGGTGGATCGTTACGTACGCTACTCCGGCGGAATGTGAGTTCGTGGTCAGCAAAGGTGTAGAAGTGAATGGGGATAAAATAGCTATAAAGCTGCTAGACGACGTTATTAATTGTGAATGTGAGGCATACGCATTGTACAGAGAGGATGAGAGACAGAAAAGGATTGACGAGGGGAACCGAATGATTCGAAAAGAGAGAAAAAGGAAGAGGAGACCAAAAGATTGAAAATTACATGAATTCCATTCACAGATGTTTCATTTTAAGAAAAGAAACAGGTTCATGTAGCACATATATTTAAATCTTTCAGTAAGTGATCATAAGCTCGTGAACAAAGATTGTGTGGACGTCTGAGTGCTTAAATATTTACTAGAAAATTTTTAAGTTTGTCTTTTCTGAGAGTTAACATAAGAGCGTATAGATGTTTAAAATGTAACTTTAATGTTCTATAATTCATAATGGCGAAAACATGTTTGTTTTTTTAATTCACTGAAATGTTAACATAAATAAATGATGGCAAAGTTTTCAAAAATAAAAAAAATAGAATAACTTCATTATTTTTATCATTAATATTAAATTACTCGTATTTTAAGAATAAATGTATTTATTAATATGAATAAATAATATATATAAATAAATACATTAAAATATATATTTTATTACGCCTTTTTTCGCCTTAATACACCGTTTGGAAGGGCGTTATTACGCCGTTTATTTTTTTTTTCACCCATAGATTGTTTTGAACATATTTTATTGATAATCAAAAGGATCAGAAACAAGTTGTATCAACTTACTAGTTCCTCTCCTTAATATAACACATAATAATTGTTATTCAAAAAGACCCATAGATTGATCCTAATAGGCTTTCGTATGATATGGCCCTTGACTAAATGGACTTCAAATATTTCTCGGAAAAAATATATTGTGTCATAAAAGGGTATTTTTTAAGGTATAGTGGGTCTTTGCTCCATGTTTTTGTTAACAGAAGAATGTAGATTTTTACACATACTTTAAGTATAATCTCTCAAAAATAAAAAAGGAAGAAAGAAAAAAAGGACTGAAGACCCACTCATATGGAAAGATTGTTTTAGTATCAAGAATTGATCATTTTGGCTCTTTTTAGTACATGTATGCTGTTTCATCGACGAATAATTTCAATATTTGTGAGACTGGTGCAATTTGTGGACATGCTGCATAAGTAAGTAAGTAAATGGTTTATTATGGTGACATGTGTTATGTACAATTACAACAGCAAATATACAAATAACAGGAATTTGAACACCCGGTCCATCGGGAATATATGTCACTTTTAACAATATAACATTCAATAAGAATACAGTGACATTACGCATTGTGTTCATTATATATAATAGAATGTCTGTAAGTATATGCTGAGTATATGAATTTTCCGGTTTGTCTTGGGAAATCTACTTAAAGAAATTTGGTTTTGTCTAAATCTGACATATTGAGATCTATTGATGTATAATCATTAATGTGTACGTCATTGTAGAATGAAATGTCAAAGAAAATGTTATAATTGAGATGTTATTTTCACTTTCTTATTTGTCGCACAACAGACTTATGTAGTGCCCATTTTGTTCTCCTTGTTAGCCCATCTTCTTTAAAATCCATTTTCATGCCATAATTATGTAATTGACAAATGCTGGCAGTTCATACTTAGTTCAAAAATAGCTTTTAATAAAATATTCCGTTTTGTTCATGGACAATTTTACCGGGATTAGCGTATTTATAGAGGTACATGGACCTTATTTATGTTGACAACTTAATTATTTTAATTATATAAATAATTATTTGATGACCTGCAACTTATTTATGCTAACATGTAGCTTATTTATGTTGACAAGCGAGATAAATATGTTGACAGGCAACTTACTTACGTTAACATGCAACTTATTCATGTTAACATGAGAGATAAATAAGTGGGTGTGCAACTTATTTATATATAAACATAAATAAGTTGTATGTTAACAAAATACATGTACTTTGAATGACCACATGAATAAGTTGCATGTCAACATAAGTTAGTTGCATTTCAACGTAGATAAGTTGCATGTTGACATAAATTATTTGCATGTGAACATAAATGAGTTACATGTCAAAATATTTAAATTATTTATCTTATATATCAACATAAATAATTACGTTGCATGCAGACATGAATAAGTTGCGACTAGCATGTTGAAAGTCACATATTGTGGGCATTATATGATGATTTATGAAATTTTTCTAAATTCTTATCTAATCACATTTTTTTGCATGTCAACGAAGTTATGTTATATGTTGACATATTAATGCTGCATGCTGACATAATTATCTTGCACGTCGACATAATATACAGAAAAATAACTTGCATATAGGGGGCATAAATATGCCACTATGATTTCTATTGATATGTGAGTTACATGTAATTATGTTGAAATACGAACTTATTTATGTTGCATTCGAGATAATTATCTTGATATGCGACATAAATGTCAAGATAATTATCTGGCATGCTGATATATAAATATTTTGCATGTCAACATTAATAACGAATTGTATGTTGTTCAACATCCCATTCGAGAATTTTTCACTCATATAAAGATGTCATCTGCCTCACGTCGTAGCTATGGGAAATATTCTGCGGGACCTTAGTATCAACTTAATATCTTGGATGTAGGGATGATAATAGCACATACTTTTGTTCCTGTTTCATATGTAAATATGCCACCATGGATATGACAAAGCTCCATTTGAAGTTTTGATCAATATGTCTGCTATGAAATAGGAATCAATATATGTCTCTTGTTCAAAACATTAGTCTAGATTTCCTAATTCTATGAGTCAAGGTATGTTTTATCCTAACTTTAAGTTGACAAGGCCTTGTTTATGTCGATTTTTTAAAAATATTCTGTAATCTCTTTATCTTCAAAAATGCCTATCGTACATCCGGTCTTTTATTCTAAATTAGAGCATTGTGTTGTAGGTGCTATATATATTGATAAGAATTACAAGAACCGAAAGTCGGTTTTTCCAAAATATGAATTCCAAGTGGCTGATAATCGTGTTATTCGTCACTTTGTTTGAAATCATACTTGCTCAACAAAACTTCCTACTTGTGGACTCCTGTCCCCAGGACAAAACAGAATGGGATGTCAGACGAGTAAACAAGAGTTATAAGGATCCACCCGATTATCATTGTGCTGCAATAGAATCAACACAGGAGTTTGGAGAAATTTGTTCATATTCTGCTTTGACATTACCTGGACATTGTCCTGTACTTAATGCTGTATCTCACAATCTCGACTTCAAAAATTGCACTTCTTATAAAGAATGTTCGCAAAAAGCATATAGATCGGACGAAATTTACAGGTATTCGATATGTTTCTCAATATTTGGCCGTAATCTGTCAAATGAAGTGTCATATAACAAGAAGCTTGATGTGTCGCAAGGGAGTGTGGTAGTTTATATATGTGTTTCTAGTATTGCAGTACTAACTGGTTTCGTTATCTTGCTTGTCTTTATTAAAAGAAAGATAAATAGCAAGAAAAATAGACATCTATCGGATGCAAATAGAAGATTGAATGTGGACAAAAACGTCGACAAAATTTTAGGAAAAGCCATTGAAGATATAGAGCTTTCAACACTTCAAAGCCATGCACTGGCTATAGAAGGGAATCAATCATAGGGATTCTAATGATTTCATTAAAATAATTGACACTCTTTCAATATATATGTAAAAAAAGATTCCTCTGACATGTAAAATTTGTCACAAAGGTAGTTATGCATTAGTATAAAACTTAATTATGAATAAATTTTTAAGATAGTTTATTTATTTATCAAATTGATACACTCCACAAAAAGAAAATAGCTTTCGCTGGCCTAAACAGTACTATTTTTAGTTTAAAAGTCATGGTTCGTCTTGTTCAGGAACTGCGATGCCATGAGATCAAAACAAAGCTGTGGGAGGATATATATTTTACAAGAATTTCAAAGAAATTCTTATTTTATTAGCCATGGCAAACCACCTCTCTTTGTCATCAAAAACGGACACAAAGAATTAAATATCTTAGTATAATCGACTTTGGTACGAAGTCTTATTAAACTGTAGGAGAAGTAGCATTTTGAATCAGTTTAACAAACATTTCTATTTGTAGTAACTATTGGGACATCATTTATTGAAATCGTTTATTGGAAGTCAAAATACAATTTACAGAATTATTTATATGGTATAGTCGAGTCTACTTCGGTACAAAATCCTACCGATATTCAGAATTATGTACCTTAGTGTAGTCTACTTGTATGCCAAGTTTTATTGATATCTGACTAACACTGAAAGAGGAGTAGCGTTTAAAAAAATATTTTCAAACAGAACGGAAGGACAACGGACACCTTTTCAGCGCATAAGCTCTTCAAGAATTTAACCAGTAGAGCGTAAAAAGAGTCCCTTGAATAGAAATTCCTTGCCAGCACCAACTCGTTACATGAATGCAATTCTCATTAATGACCTATTTGAAGAAGCAAAAGTGAGTCCATACTTAAATTCTTCAACTGCAAAATACTAGCTAGTGTTTGTGATTATGAAAGTTTCCTAACACAGACTCTTTAAGCCACCATGAGTGTCGGAAGATAATTCTGATCCAACCCGTCGGTTACTTAAACTTAAAGGAATAGATGTTGCGAACGTAACATTTTTTAGAATCATTAAAAAGTTCAGTCTTGCATTCCACCATATTTCAAGTTGAAGTCTACACCTTGTAGTTCCCAAACTTGCTTCCAAACTTTCCAGTTATAAACAAACCTCACAGTGCCTAGATGTTGAACATCTTTAAAAAAAAATCTTACGTGTTTTTGTGCTTCTCCTTCCTTCAACTACAGTCCTGCTGGAAACTTCAAAACCGGTGATGTTAACAGTTGAAAATGAAGACCTAAAAGCAATCATCTCAAAAGGTCCTATACAGGGAGCCCCAATCTTTCAACTGGCGACAGAACTTCATTTCTCTGATGAATTCTGTCGAATATTATGTCAGAAGTTGAGCTAAATATGAAAAGGACCAGTGGTAGAATGTTCGCTTCGTGATTGGGAGGCCCGGGTTCGACGCGACTAAGACGTAAACATAGGTAGTGACTGTTCCTTTGCCAAGCGCCTGGCACTAGAAGTGAAAGTCACCGTTCTTTTTGATGAGACCTAAAAAAACGAGGTCCCATGTCACTAAAGGCACAATAAAGAACCCTCACTGTTCAGTAGTCCTGAGTACCGAGTATAGGTCAAAATTTGAAGCCCTTCACCGGTATACGGAGACGTCTCTATATGAGTGAAAATTTCTCGAATGGGACTTTATACAGCATACGATCAATCAATCAAATATGAAAAGAAAGACCTTAACACTGTGTTAAAATGGATTAAGTGTTTTGGAAATATATTAAAGAATCGTGCTAGAAAGTTAAATTGCAATATGCGAATCATCTCTCTGTGGCATTAGGTGCTCTCACAAAGACCGTAAGTG